AAACAGCAGAGCAGAAAAGGTTCTGTATAAAAAAAAATATGAGTCTTGTGGAGTACAAATGTGAGGGTGAAAGGGATTGTACGGGCGCTTCTCTGGGGATATCTGGGGAAACCTGGTGACAGCTGTATGCGTTGACCTTGTATTGGTTGACATTTCTGCATGCTTTTCAATTTTATCAGCTAAAAGATAACCCGGGCCTTCGGCCTTTAATGTCTGAACTTCCCCATTGTTATATTATATTGTATTTGCAAGTTCCACGTTTGGACGAGTGTACCCATTTCCTTGATATACTCGTCCAAACGTGGGAGTTGCAAATAAAATATAATTATGATTATAAGAATAATTAGGAAGCTCAGAGACTAAAAGCCGAAGGCCCGGGGTCTTTTTTTAGCTGATAAAATTGAAAAGCATGCAGAAATGTCAACCTATACAAGGTCAACGCATACAGTGAAAGCTATAAGTGTACCTTGACACACGGTAAGCTGTCACCAGGTTTTCCCAGATATTTAGAGAAGTGTCCGTACAATCCCTTTCTTCCTCACTTTTCTAAACATTTGTACCATACACATGATACAAGACTCGGTGTTGGACGAAAATTCCTCTGAAAACATTTCTGTAAAATAATTGTAATTTATGGTAATACAACTTTTTTCTGCTGTTTTCATGGATCAAGGAAATTAGACTTGGTTTAGTTTCATCTCGACTTAACTAGGCTTTTAGTAAAACAATATTTTGAAAAGAAATAGTTTAAAATCTACTGTCACTTCACTTCGTCACTTCAGTAGATCTCTTCGGCTTTCTTGAACCTTAATTTACATCATAAACTACTACACTCCATCACATAGGGTTTTCTTATTAAATATTCACATTCAATATATATATTAGAAACATGATGGGGGGGGGGGGGGGGATTTCGAAACCACGACCATAAGTTTCTTGGACGCCTGAAAGAGGCCACTATACACAGTGAACTGTAGCGCCATAGATGCGACACCGAAAATACAATAAACTACGTTTATAACGAACACGCTTATAACGAACTGACGGATAAAACTAACAAATTTTTGGTCCCGGCCATTTGCTGTATATATGCTGTTATATAATAAACTCAGTGATCCCTTTGAGTTCGTTATAACCGTAGTTTAACTGCATTCAAAGTCCAATCGACTTTTTGTTGAAAGCTGCAAGGAAAAAGAAAGCATACGCTTGAAATTTGGATTTGAACAAAATATAACAAACGCTATCAAAACATTACTAGGTTGACATCAGTCTCGAAAACAATTCAAACTTTAGGGCTTAAACACAAAATATAACACCCGTATCAATTACATCATCAACAAATGACCATTTCTTGTTTGTTTCTTTTAGCCACCATCAAACATGCGTGTATACTTTCTTTTGCCAGTAAGTTTAGATATAATATACCAACGTGAACATACATTATTTCAAAATAATTTAACAGAACTCACACACACCCAACATATATACCACACATATACATATTAATACCTTCACGTACTCTACCCAAATACAATATGTGAACGGTAGCATAAACTCCTTCCTTCTAGGGGGCACGGGTGGCCCAGTCGTCTAAGGCGCCGCGATTCGCTGTGCAGAGTTGCGTCCCTTGGGCACGCCAGAAACCTATGATTGTGGGTTCGAATCCCGGTTCGCCCCGATTATGTTTCTAGGTTTGTCAGCACCATACCCGTGCTCGTGGGTTTTACCGAAGTGGTAAACGTCTGTGACCTGCATCACTTCGGGCTTTCCTCCCGCATTAAGCTGACACGCCGTGATATAACTGGAATACTGTTAAAAGCGGCGTTAAACCCAACTCACTCACTCACTCACTCCTTCTAGTGTAACTATTAATTTGCATAAATATAAATAACTCAGATGGACGAGGTAGTGTTTCACTCAGGTGGTTTTCTACTTTGACAGTTGTAGTTTCAAATGATCATAGATAAAGAAGGATGTAAGTTTTTTAATGGCATTTAGAAGTGATACACGGAGAAACACATAATAAAGAAGTTGACCTCCATAAATTCTTCCTCTTAAGAAGGATGTAGTCGGGAGTCGGGACTTCCAATAGTAGTTTCTATCTACATGTATCTGGGTCTTTTGGTTATCGGGATTCTACTTAACGAGATTCGCTCGACTGTGAGTGAGTGAATGAGGTTTAACGCCGCTTTTAACAATATTCCTGTTATGTCGCGTCGAGTCAGCTTAATGTGGGAGGAAAGCCCCAAGTGATGCAGGTCTCAGATGTTTACCACTTCGGTGAAACCCACGAGGACCGGTATGGTCCTGACAAACCCAGAAACATAAACCGGGATTTGAACCCACAATCATAGGTTTCCGGCGTGCCCAAGGGACGCAACTCTGCACAGCGAAACGCGGCGCCTTAGACGACTGGGCCACCCGTGCCCCTCGCGCGACTGTACACCATATATATTTCCACAGATTACAATTACTATTATCAGGTGATGTTAAATGTAACATTTTGGCATTATCAACCAATACAGCACTTAGAATGGATACATAATGTTTCCATGGGGAATCGAACTCGGCTCCACGGCGTGATGGGTTAAACCGTAGCCACTGGGCTCCCTTAACATCCCTTAAAGAGAAGACATGACAGTTTTTTCAGTAATTTAGCCATCAAGGACCATAGTACAATGCAGATTGGATATTAACATTTGTCGATGTACATGATTACTTTTTAAATCAAGTTACACATTCCTCATTATAAAGACATGTTTTATAAATACAGAAACAGCATGGATCTTATCATGATTTTCAGATTTTAGCAGATTTATCATTAACTGACGGTCTTTAACAATAACTTGCAACATGGAGAGAAATTTATACCTTACATGGGAATACGTTTCACATATAAGTAAGACATGGTATTCATCCTCTACTTCTCCGGATGAACAGTTTGTACAGATAGAGTTCACAACATCACCGTCTTTGGACCTGCGACATACATTTTCATGAAAATTGTGCAGAGAAATTCTAAGTTTACAATAAGCTCTGATTAAACTTTTATCGTTTAAACAAGTTAAATATCTTTCCGTTTGTAACAATCATTTTACTTTACTGTAATTGCTAAGATTACAGTGAAATGAAACCCATGGGAAACCATAGCTAGTTTGGTTTTACACCGCCTTTAGCTATAGTCCAGCGATATCACGGCGGGGGACACCAGATATGGGCTTAACACATTGTACCCATGTCGGAAATCGAACCCGGGCCTTCAGCGTGACGAGCGAACGCTTTAACCACTAGGCTACCCGACCGCCCCCTTTGGTTGTTCTCACCCCATTTGTCAGACAGCTTAAAATTACAAAAGCCACGGTTGAGTTCTCCCACATCCAAAGTTACCCATGTGATAAAATGGATTAGTCCCGATCATACCCTATTTGTCAGACACTTGTAATAACTAAATGAATACTTTCATTGTGTCTCATAGGCTTTAATAGTCACATAAATAGACAACTTTCTGTATTGAGATCCCAGCCGTGGACTTTGTGATTTTAGAGTTTCTGGTGTTTGTTTGTTTGTTGTTTAACGCCGCACTCAGCAATGTTCCAGCTATATGAGGGCGGTCTGTAAATAATCGAGTCTGGACCAGACAATCCAGTGATTGACACCATGAGCATCGATCCACGCAATTGGGATACGATGACCTGCATCAACCAAGTCAGCGAGCCTGACCACCCGATCGCCTCTTACGGCAAGCATGGGTTGCTGAAGACCTATTCTACCCCGGATCTTCACAGGCCTAGAGTATCCGACAAATAGGGTGAGACCCTAAGTATACCACATAGGGACTTACCTTACTTGAATTACACCTGCTTGAAATCACACATGCATAACTGTAACTATACAAGAAATCACATAAAAAGTATATGTATTCAGTAACTCTCTGTTGGTGTGGGCAAACATAAGTTAGTATGAAAACCAAGGCTCTCATCGCGCCATTTTAGAATCCGCGCTTATACAAAACTCGCTGCAAGGTTTCGTTTTCGTTTCGGAAAGGCGCTTCTGTCTTGAAGGCCCTAGCAACAACACATAAACATTCAGCAGCTATTAGATATCGACAACAATAATTACAAGGCCATGACTTCCACAAGGAAGTTCTAGTTATAAATATGTAAATCAATTCAGTGAGTTTGGTTTCACACAGCTTTTAGCAATATTTCAACAATATCACCCGAGGGACCCCCAGAAATGGGCTCCACACATTGTACCAATGTGGGGAATCGAACCCGGGTATTTGACGTGACGAGCGAACGCTTTAACCACTACTACTACCCTCACCGCCCAATAATAATAATAATAATAATAATAATAATAATAATAATAATAATAACAATAATAATAATAATAATAATAATACTGATAATAAGAATATCGTTGATGTTAATAATAATAATAATAATGATAATAATGATAATAATAACATCAACATCATAACCATTATTATTATTATTATTGATAATAATGATGATAACAATAATATACTTTATACCCACGTCTGAATAGGTATATTATTATATTTATTTAACTTTTTTTATTCTTAAGGAAATTCAAATGACTTGACTTAGCATTTACGTAACAATACAGTAATCTCCTATAGCTGGATGCCTTGTCTAAGTTGACCCTGGTCTCTATTGTCTATTCGGCAAGTTGATTCCTCTATAGCCTAGAGAAGGTTTAAAACAAGAAACAAAAAAAGCCAGTTAGCACAATATCAAAGGAAAGTCTTCCTCGAACACTGCTGATAAGGTATCAATGTGATCTATACAGTCCCTGACGCATTAAATATGTTGGTAATTTCGTCCTCGTATCTACAAATATCAGTTCACTTCTACTTTCATGTGATAGTTCTAAACAATGCGATACGCATACTGACAACTGACGCACGAACCGCCCCCGGACTAGTTCGATAAGATCGCAGTCTCGGGAATACACAAGTTAAAAATAGATTTGCTCGTAATACGTTGAACATTACCTCCCCTGAATGGCCGTCGTTACACTAAAAACTACCAGCAATGGCGAATGTACGGTCAACTTTGAACCATTCCTATTCTACAGATGATTGTTTAGGAATTGGAGCGACTTGTGAAGTTTACAAAGGTATCTCTAAGGTAAATATTTACAAGTGATGTCTGTGAACAGTGTACTTAATTCCTATTGTCAGTCACCATGTTTACAGCCTGTGTTGTGTAACGACCATATAGTGTTTCCGGGTTGAATTGTAGCTTTTACTTTCGGTTTGTCGTCCTTAAACTATTGAAGCCATTTTATTATTTATTGAACATTTATGCATTAACTAATCACGATCTACTTTCTTGTTGTGTTTTGGTGACTTAACAATTGTTTCTGTCACTGTCAACCCGGTGGGGAAATATGCGTTGTGTTGATGACACTATCCGGTAGTATTAGCATACGGTCGCGTCAGTATCTGTCCCTTCCCAAGCGATACAACGAACACCCTCAGCTTCAAATCCCACACCTCATAGGGTTCATTAGTAATATATATAAATATTCATACATTGTATGTTCAGCTACGAACGTTTTAGTAAATATAGATCTATCAGGTACGGGCAGGCGATGCTCCGAATGGATACAGATTGAACAGGGGGATAGTATGTACTTGACCCTGATAAGTGATATTTTATACTTCAGTTCACGGTAACAGTGATATCAACATGCCGTGGCATGTGATATGATATATCGGAGCATAGATTGTGTTTGATATGCGTATCACATCTAGACAACAACTGACAAAATTCATTGAGCAATCTTTCAACGTATGCAACGTTCATAGGGTATGCAACTTCATAGGGTATATAATATGACAGGGTCGGCAACTTCCATCGATGATCGATAGTCTTTTTAATTTTTTTTAGATTTACGATAGGATTGTATTTCATGGGGATGTAACCAGCTGGTTTATCGAAATAAGTAAGTTGTCTCCGAAAATACTTATAAAAAATAATTATGCTTCCGGCAGTTGAAGAAAAAGAAATTGCCTGTCACAAAAATTACATTGTTGCAATGTGTTTTTCTTTTTAAAAGTTCAGGCTCGTAGATTTAAATGAAATAAAAATATCTTATTTTGCAGCTGACAAAAAATCTTATCTCGATACAGAATACAAAAGAGGGCTCCGTGAAGATTCCGGGGTAGAATAGGTCTTCAGCAACCAATACTTGCCGTAAAAGGCCACTATGCTTGTCGTAAAAGGCGACTAACGGGGTCGGGTGGTCAGGCTCGCTGACTTGGTTGATACATGTCATCGATCCCAACTGCATGGATCGATGCGCATGATGTCAATCACTGGATTGGCTGGTCCAGACTCGATTATTTGCAGACCGCCGTCATATAGCTGGAATATTGCTGTGTGCGGCGTTAAACAACAAACAAAAGAGGGCTTCGGCCCTGCCCACGTTGAAAGACAGGTTACTTGGTGCCTCCTTAAGGAGTTCACTTTTCGAAATCTGCCTCTGAGCACCCGGTAAATGGGTACCCGATAGGAGAAGATTGTAATGTGACTTAACCTTCTGGCTCCACACAGACTGCTTGGGTTGTATACTCCCCAGGGAGATGAGAATGAAAATCAAGTTCACACTGATCCAGTTACGGGGGTTAAAATAAGATCAAACATCCTCAAAGCACATTTAAGCAGTTATGATTAGAAAACGCGTGCAGCAAACCATAATATGATAATATAATATAATAATAACTAAGGGCGTGAAACAGGGAATGGATGTGTGAGTAATGTTTTACGCCGTTTTAGCAATATCACAGCGGGGGACACAGGAAATGGGCTTCACTCATTGTACCCGTGTCGGGAATCGAACCAGGGTCTTCGGCGTGACGAGCGAACACTTTGACCACTGGATAATGAACATAATTTGTTTATATAAGCACGTCAATCTCACGCGGTAGAACAAACTGGCACATCTACAAAACGTTGGTTACGTACAATACTGGGCGGTCGGATAGCCTGGTGGTTAAAGCGTTCGCTCGTCACGCCGAAGACCCGGGTTCGATTCCCGACATGGGTACAATGTGTGAAGCCCATTTCTGGTGTCCCCCGCCGTGATATTGCAGGAATATTGCTAAAAGCGGCGTAAAACCATACTCACTCACTCACGTACAATACTATTTGTCTCAAACTAATCGTAATGTTTATATTTGGGTGAGATGCACACACCTATAGAGTCAACAGTCCAGACACAAACTATAATACGCACGAGGAGTGGCATTATCATGTGTGTAGTTACTTCCACGTCCTCTTAATAGATCGTCTCTCCTATAACTTTGTTTAGTGTCAGACTCAGTTCAAGTAATTGTGTCAGAAAATGATCAATTTGGTCATATTACAACTGTTAGATTTAGGATAACACATTTTTAGTAAAGTACTAGTGAGTGAGTATGCTTTTACGCCGCTTTCAGCAATATTCCAGCAATATCACGGCGGGGGACACCAGAAATGGGCTTCACACATTGTACCCATGTCGGGAATCGAACCGGGATCTTCGGCGCGACGAGCGAACTCTTTAACCACAAGGCTACCTCACCGCCAAATTCAAGGACTTTTAGGATTTTAGGCCCATCCGGGATTCGAACCCACACTCTCATAATCACTGGCACACAAGTCAGCGATCTAATCTACTCGGCCACCGAGGCTTCTACGAAATGTATGTACGAGAGCTGTAAGTCCAGATCACGTACTTTGTGTACCCCTCTGACAAGTGTAAAGTGTCACAGTTCCTATCGTCATTTGGTCTTTTTTTTTCTTTAAAGCGTGTGAAAACAAAACTGTCTTGTCTAATAATTATTTTTAGAAAGTGGACGAGGAACTACTGATCCGGGCCTAATTGTTATGAGTGTATGTGTGTAACAATGGTCGGAAGCAAACAGCCGGTCCCCGACCATGAAAACAACACGTGACATACACGCTGTATACAAGGAAAAAACATCATTTTGTATTACTTTCAGGGGCTGTGTTTATATATATATTATAAAAGGTATTACGTAAATATGTAGCAAGATATGAAAATAAGTTGATTTGAATATTATGTATATGTGAATTCAGTAAATCCAGTGAATTATTCTTATGAAAGATCGATTGTAATAAACAATATGTTTAGGACACTAGGATATGAGATGAATATATGTCTCTTGTTAGGAAATATCTCTCTCTCTCTCTCTCTCTCTCTCTCTCTCTCTCTCTCTCTCTCTCTCTCTCTCTCTCTCTCAATATGCATGTTTTAGTAAAGGATATTTTACATTCAATCCTAAATCAACATGTGAAGTAAAATAAAGTTAGTCAACTGAAGTCTCCAATTTGAGTTAATTGACATTAAAATTACATTATTGCAATATATATATGTATATATATTGATGACTTTGTGTATTAGTGTATTTATAATAAGGTCATTTAGGCCACATGTGGTCGTGTATTACAAATATGAACAATGATACACATAAAAAATAATGTGATTGGAATATTATGATAATGTGATGATTAATACAATTTCGTCACTGTATGTATGGAGAGGTCACATTCCCATGGTTTTACCGGATGCAAAACACTGCTCCCACGAGAGTACTTATTTAGAATGGACTCAAATGCACTGTGAGCCCCTTTTGGACTATATAATTTGTTTGTTTGTTGTTTAACGCCGCACCGCACTCAGCAATATTCCAGCAATGTGACGGCGGTCTGTAAATAATAGAGTCTGGACCAGACAATCCAGTGATTTTGTACCCTACTGTCATCATGAACATCGATCCAAGCCACTGGGATACGATGACATGCATCAACCAAGTCAGCGAGCCTGACCACCCAATCCCGTTCGTCGCCTCTTTTGACAAGCATAGTTGCCTTTTACGGCAAGCATGGGTTGCTGAAGACCTATTCTACCCCGGATTTTCACGGGTATCGGTCCAGCTGAATAACGGTGTTTTATTTGTTTCTTGCGCTAAACGATGTCACTTCTTTCGTGTTTATGCTTCGTGTTAATGATTAAAATAAGCATTCTGTGAAGATATTGTTGTTGACTTAACCATTTATTTGAATTGGCTTCAATATGTTTCGTTTCTGGGGGTGCACACTTAAACCAGTATATGACTAAAGTATTCATCCACGAAAGTGACATTGAAGTAAAATAATTCTTATTAAGTTCAACCCATGGTTCAAGTCAAAGTATATACCAATTATCCATTCATGTTCCCGTGTGACATCATGAATTATTGTATAAGTGGGTATATATTCCATTCATCAAATGGTCAGTGTTTATCAAATGTATGATTTGTTTCAGTCAGGCGACATCCGGGCATTGAAGGTGTTCGGGCCGAGGACAGATGGCGACATTGGCCGGGAGATACAAGCTTTGAAGCAGCTGGATCACAGAAACATCATCAAATACTACGGCTGTGAGGAGGAGGTGGGAACACAATGTATTTATTTTTATTGGGGAGAAAGTTTTTTGTATTCAGAGGAAAATTGTTCCAGAAAGTACTCTATTTTCCTTGAGTATAGTGCGCACCCAAGTATAATGCGCACGCCCCTCTAGCGGATTAAGTTTTGTTGTTTTTGTTTTGTTTTTGTTTGTTTTTTTTGTTTTGTTTGTTTGTTTGTCTGTTGTTGTTTTTGGTGTGGTTTTATTTATCTTTCTCTCTTTTTTATTCTTTTTTTTTTTTGGGGGGGGGGGGGGGGGGGGGTCGAATAATATGCGCAGAAAATGTTTTTATTTTCTGTTCTGCTAGGCATTGTTCACATAGAATCGTCAAACTACAACAAATATGACTTTTAACGAGTCAAAGTATGGCATTTATGATATATGTATCCAAAAAAAGAGAATGTAGCATCCAGGTGTTTTTTTTTAACAAAAACGTTAGCTGGACATACTGTATGCGCTGAAAAGCATGTGTGAAAAATAAAACAATTGCTCGGCTCTTCCTATCACATATGTCTTGAAGCAGTGACCCAAAACATTCTGGTAGCTGGTTTACCTCCTTAGGTAATCTCCCGATTGTCCGGCGGGTTTAGGGTTCATTTAGCTTCCTATGAGACCACCTCAGTGGTCTAGTGGATGAAGCGAATGCCCGGAAGCGGAAGGTTGGTGGTTCGATTCACGGCCGCGTCAAACCCAAAGACGTTAAAACAGTTTTTGTTGTTACCCTGCCTGGCGCACAGCATTAAGGAGATAAAACAAGGACTGGTCGACTCGGAGTCAGTATACTGTGTCAGAGTTGGGTATCAGTGTTAATCTGCATGGTATGTCAGTTGGCTAGCACTGACCGGACTTATACAAGCGAACACGCACGCACACACACACACACACACACACACACACACACACACACAAATGTGCAAGCATGTCGCCTCATACGTGCAATAATCCTGAACACAACGTTAAACCCCCGTCTAACTTCAGCTCATGTCTGGTCCAGACTCGATTATTTACAGACCGCCGTCATATAGCTGGAATATTGCTGAGTGCGGCGTTAAACAACAAACAAAACCAAACCAATCATGTCATGTCACCGTTGAACCTCACCTCACCTCACCTCACCTCAGACTCTGTGGGTAAAATGTTATCAGAAAATCATTCCACAATTGTGAAATGTTTTGACAGCAGATGTAAACCTGGCAAGTAAAGAAGTCGCATCATGCATGTTCACTTAAATGCTTAAAACCCAAAATGCACCGACAGTAGAAGGCTAGTATGGGGTTTTATGGCTGTCGGTAGATTCCTTCATAATCACAGATTCGACACAGAAATGTGTCACTCTTTGAATGTTGACTGTCACTTTCAACAGACCGCCAACACAGCCATTCCCACATGATAAACAAATTCCGTCACCTCACTCTATGCAGTCTACAAGATAAACATGTTTTCTTCGTGTTTCGTGATCTGGTTACTGGTTATAAGGATAAACATTTGTGTCGATAATTATCAGACGTTTGGGTCTATTTACATAATCAGTTTTCAAAAATTTACTTCTGTCATTGTTTACTCCCCTGTTCCGGGTTTAGCAATGCTGCTCCGGGAACGGCCTTGACCTTACTAGTGCCTACGCATGCAATACATTTAAATACCCACTGATCCGTGTACTTGACATGCGGAGAAACACCTTCCTGGTGATAGCAGAAGTAGGCCGCCTGGATAATCTAACAACACTGATCAAATGTGCACAGACACACGTACAATCGAAACAAAAAACAACTACACAACAAACAGCATGTTTCTTTCATTCGAGGGACCAAGTCGACTAAGGTGCAGTAATTGGTTGTGCCGAGTTGCGCCAGGTCTTAAAGATCAGGGCCCCGTTCCACAAAGCGATCTTAGTGCTAAGTCGATCGTAACTCCCATTCTTTAACACTGACTTACGACAATCGTAGCGCTAAGATCGCTTTGTGGAACGGGGCCCAGGGTTGGAATCACCGATTCACCCCTATGTTGATTGGTCGTTTGTTAGCGGGGCTGTGTTCGTGGCCCTCACCAAGGAGTGACTGAGTGAGTGACTGAGTCTCACTTTGAACAATATTTCAGTGATTTTACGGCGTGCCAGATTGAAGTGGGAGGAAAGGTCTAAGGTCTTAGACGTTTACCACTTTGGTGAAACCCACGAGGACGGGTATAGTGCTGACAAAGTTAGAAACATAATCGGGGCGACCTGGGATTCGTACTCATTCGAAGGTTTCTGGCGTGCCCAAGGGACGCAACTCTGCACATCGAATTGAGGCGCGTTAGACGACTGGGCCACCCGTGCCCCCTTCATTAAAGAAATAAACGTTAACGACCTCATCATAAACTAAAATAGTGTTCAAAAGCAGCCTTAGACCATGCGTAACCACTCGAGATCACGACAGTTATACGGGGCCTATGAAACCTATAATTGTGGGTTCGAATCCCGGTTCGCCCCGATGATGTTTCTAGGTTTGTCAGCACCATACCCGTGCTCATGGGTTTCAACGAGGCGGTAAACGTCTGAGACCTGCATCACTTGGGGCTTTCCTCCCACATTAAGCTGACACACCGTGATATAACTGGAATACTGTTAAAAGCGGCGTTAAACCCAACTCACTCACTCACAACAGTCATACGCCACGACGAGATTAACTCAGCATCCAAATTGCGTCCTCCTTCTCCCATGTGCGCAATAAATGAAAGATATGAGGATCGCAAAGCTGGAAGTCTTTCTTAAATCTCTGGAGCTGTGTCAAGATAATGCAAACGTCTTTCAAAGTCAATCACATAATAAAAATTCCACAAGCCCGCGGTATATTTGACCTACTTGTCGGAGCCCCTGGATTTAATTGATTGACACTCACAGTATTCTTTTCCTTGTTGGGTACCTGCTGTCGAAATAACTGTACATTACGAACAGTGTTATTGTAAGGGCGGGCTGACATTTAAACTACGTGTTTCGTTGATGAATATGTATGATTTTATCCATATATTTTGCCTGAAACTTTAAGAACAGAATGCATTATTCACCGTATCCAAGTTATTAAATCCATGCTGATGATGTCAATCACTGGATTGTCTGGTCCAGACTTACTTATTTACAGACCGCCGTCATATAACTGGAATACTGCTGAGTGCGGCGTTAAACAAAACAAAATAACAATTAACTTCGGTGTGAAAGAACACTGATGTTAGAAACAGATATCACTGGCGGATATTAATTTTCAATTGAAACCTGGAAAACGGAACAGTTTCATTTTTCACGTTCAAATTAGCATTTTAACAACATGTAGATTCCAAATATTAGCAGGAATATTCCCGTGTGCAGCGTTAAACGACAAACAAACATGTTTTTGAATATCATTTACATAAATAAATGTTTAAAATGCGGCATGTTAAGGATGAAATTGTTGTAGATCGGGTCCAGACGCTTGGTGGTGGTCACAGAGTTCTGTGATGGAGGGAGTCTGCTGGACCATCTCAACAGACCCGAGAACGCCTATGGACTGGATGAGGAGGAATACCTGCTGTTGCTCCGTCATCTCGGTGTGTACAACCCTATACCTACATCCTCGCCTGTAATCTCTCAAGACTTGTGGGGCGGTCGGGTAGCCTAGTGGTTAAAGCGTTCGCTCGTCACGCCGAAAACCCGGGTTCGATTCCTGACATGGGTACAATGTGTGAAGCCCATTTCTGGTGTTCCCCGCCGTGATATTGCTGGAATATTGCTAAAAGCGGCGTAGAAACCATACTCGCTCACTCACTCACTAACTCAAGACTTGTACTCTAGTCCGTCATCTTCGCTCAATTATGAATCACATTGTCAGTGATTGCATTTCTTTGTGATATGGTCTCAGGTATGGTGTTTCTATTCCACACAAGTTCGTGTTATTTGCGAAAAGGTTGTACTACTCTCTGTACGTTTTGGAAAACTTTAACGCTCCAGGCTGAGCAATGTGAGTGAGTGAATGAGTTGAGTTTTTAAAAACCGCTTTTAACAGTATTCCAGTTATATCACGGTGTGTCAGCTTAATGTGGGAGGAAAGCCCGTAGTGATGCAGGTCTCAGGCGTTTACCACTTCGGTGAAACCCACGAGCACGGATATGGTGCTGATAAACCTAGAAACATAATTGGGGCGAACCGGGATTCGAACCCACAATCATAGGTATCTGGCGTGCCCAAGGGACGCAACTCTGCACAGCTAATAGCCTTAGACGTCTGGGCCACCCGTGCCCCCTTGAGCAATGTAGAACATCATTATTTTTATAATATGGCGACACATGGTACATACTAAACATTCAAAAGTGGTCAAATGTGACAAATCTTATACTTGGGATAACACTTTCTTAGTAAAGTACATATTCTCATATTCTATTTTTTTGGTTGAAGTAGACTGCCAGTTGTCGGACTTTCATTTCTTTTGGAAGTCTTGGTGGCTGAGTGTGTTAGATCGCTGACTTTAATTTGTGTGCTGGCGATTAGGTGCCGCACTCTTGCAGTGTGGGTTCGAATCCCGGACGGGACGAAAGAAAGTACGAGAATCTGTGCTTTACTAGGAAAGTATTATCCCAAATATAACATTTGTTACATGGTACATAGTGTTAATTGTAAATGATTAGACACTTGTGATCTGTGGAACGTTTGGTATTTAGCCATTGAGAACTGATATTTAGTGAACTGTATGGCTCTGAATTATCTAAATTGAAATATGTTTCAAGATGTAAAAATAACATTACAGTACACCCCCTGAGATGGAGACTTAATTCTGTAAACAGCTTTGAAGACATTGTAAGACATTCTGATATTATGTGAACAAACGCATTCAGTATACATGTATATTTTGTTTGAACATCCCGTACAGTGGATGGCATGAAGCACTACCGCGAGAAGGGATTCATTCACAGAGACATCAAGCCGGCCAATATCCTCCGATGCATATCCGAGGACGGAAGGTAATACACACTGGAGGATCATTCGGGGAGATAAATATTGGACCGTTCGGACCTTTGCGAGTCCGGACGTCTGACTCTGGACACCGAGACATATGCCCTTTAACCGAGGACAGGGTGCTCTTGGTCAGACACACGATATATATCATGGCAGTTGACAAAAATGAAATAATATTTGTTAACGATTGCTTCTGGAAACGTCAGAGAACATCTTACTTTAACTGCTCATTCAACCAAGGTGACTGCAACCGCCTCCGTGGTCTAGTGGAAAGAGTGTCTGCCCAGAGATGGAGGGTTCGATCCCCCGGTCCAGCTTGTTTATCCCCTAATACCAAAATATGTTTGATGATGTACTTGTTGCAGGCGGGGTAACACGTGCAATCGTGTAACATATTTTGGATGACGCGATGAAACAAGGACCGGCGGCTACGAGTCAGTATAATGTGTCTGAGTTGGTCATCCATAATAAACTGCCGACTCGTAGCTCAGTAGGGTTGAACAAGAAAACCAGCATCAGTCCGGACTGGTACAAGCAGCCACACACACGTGCATGCGTGAAATAATCTTGAAAGCGACGTTGAACCCTATTTCACCTCACCTCATTAAAGTGTTGGTAACCACATTAGATAATTTAGTGACGTCATGATCTTGATTCATTTAGAAATATCAGTACGTCACTGTCAGGTTTGTAATACTATTTGTTTCAACACCCATTAGGAATATGGGTTGAATGTAATATGAATAAATTGTTATAGAATACGGACCCACTAGTATGGACATATAGTAGGACAAATTATAACATATGCACGGGGTACAGTGAAACCCCTTTAATCCGGAAACGTCACTTAACGAAAGAGTACTGTTTGGAAGATCCATTCAAAGGGACATTACTCCATACCCATGTTGTGTTAATCCGGGAATTCGTTAATCCAGACGGTGTGAATGATGACGTATGGATGAACGAGGTGTCAATGTTTCGTAGTTTTTTTATATTAAAATAAGTCACATTGTCTGTGTGTTTTTCAGCTCTCTGTACAAACTATCAGATTTTGGTACGGCAAAGCCATTGATGCCGGACGAATGTTTCCAGTCTCTTGTGGGAACGGAAGAATACTTGGTACGTCTTGAACCCAATTTGGAATCGGTAATTCTTTACTATGTCGACAACGTCATACACCCGGTCGTCAACGTTATATTCCAGGATGATGTTGTACAAAGCGATCTTAGCACTTAGGTGATTGTAACTCCCATACCTTAACATAGACTTACGACAGTCGTAGAGCTAAGGTTATTTTGCGCAACGGCACCAGGCTGGTCCGCCGCGTCACATGCAAGGGGTCCGTTCTACAAAGCGATCGTAGCGCTAGGTCATCGTAACTCCCATACTTTAACATGGACTTACGACGTAGCGCTACGACCACTTTGTGGAACGGGTCCCTGGTCCTCGTTTTGTTCGTCTCTTCCAACAAACATTGGCCATCCACAAGGAACCCATCAAACTAAGCTTTTATTTGTAGAATGTAGTCAAATAGAGGTAGTTTTTGTTTGAAACAGAACGTAAACAGGACGCAGAGAGTCGAGTATCTACTTGTCGGAATAAAGTCGATAGATCATGGATCTTGTATTCTCCCGCCTCCGTGGTCTCACAGATCGAGCGCCCCACACATACGTAAACACGCACCCATCGTTATGTAAGTACAATAATCTTGAACGCGAGGTGAAGCCCCATTTGGTGCGGTCGGGTAACCTGTGGGTAAAGCGTCACGCCGAAGACCCGGGTTCGATTCCCGACATGGCTACAATGTGTGAAGCCCATTTCTGGTGTCCCCCGCTGTGATATTGCAGGAATATTGCTGAAAGCGGCGTAAAACCATACTCACTCACTAAAGCCCCATTTCACCCAACCTTGTATTCCAGCACCCAGATATTTACAAAGCTGCCTTCCTGGAGAGGGGCCGGGACCGCCAGTTCGACCAGTCTGTCGACCTGTGGAGCCTTGGGGCCACACTGTATCACTCCGCCACTGGCCGCGTGCCCTTCCGGCCCCACCACGGCAGGGCCGACAAACTGACTATGTGAGTTAAACAATAGATGAAACAATTGTTTCTGTTTATTTCAGATCGGTATCAGAAGTAAATATCCTTTTAATGTGTTATTGATTTTTCGAATTAAACAACATATTTAACACAGCATATACGCTGAACGCTAGGTTCAACTCAGTTTTTCTTGACAGTTGTTACATTTTTACGTCAGTATCTTTTTTATCTAACTTTATACATTTCATGGCCTAAATAATGAATAGCAACTGCCTGTCGGCGAAATGCGTCATCGTTAAAACAAGACATTGCCTGAGTTCGTTTCCTGGCATAGACAAACCATGTTAGTGTTCACTGTCTGAATTATACCAAAAGATGTTAAAAGATGGTACTTGTTGTTATCCTGTCTGGCGCTCGGCATTTAGGGGCTAAAACAAGGACTGGTCGGCTCGGAGTCGGTATACTGTGTCTGAGTTGGGTATTCATGTTAAACTGCGGCATGGTATCTCAGTGTTCTAGCACTATGAATCAGCATTAGACCGGACTAGTACAAGCAGACACACACACACGTGCATGCACGTCGCTATATAAGTGCAATAATCTTGGACGCGACGTTAAACACAATTTCAACTCAACTCTGTCTGAATATGTGTGATCTGGTGGTCCTGGCCATACTTCGGTAGCATAACAGTTCCACGTGGGTTGATTGATGAGTTCTTAGCCTCGCGTAGAAGGGATTGCAAACAGTTAAGTCTTTTGGCCCGGGCGCTGGTATGCCGAGAGTGTCGTCATGATGGACTATCTTCCAAAGGGCCAGACAAGAAGCGGAGTATACTATGTTGCACGTTTGAAGCAATTACAACCCACTTCGACTTTAACGATGGATATCCTAAAGGATTTCTACAAAACTAGAATCCCTACGTGGAAGGGGATTAAGTGGAAAAAGAAATATCATTTAAATGTCTCTAGGCTAAGTCTTTCTATTTGAGGGGGCACGGGTGGCTCAGTCGTCTATGGCGCCGCGATTCGCTGTGCAGAGTTGCTTCCCTTGGGCACGCCAAAAACCTATGATTGTGGGTTCGAATCCCGGTTCGCCCCGATTATGTTTTTAGGTTTGTCAGCACCATACCCGTGCTCGTGGGTTTCACCGAAGTGGTAAACGTCTAAGACCTGCATCATTTGGGGCTTTCCTCCCACATTAAGCTGACACGCCGCAATATAACTGGAATACTGTTAAAAGCGGCGTTAAACCCAACTCACTCACTCACTCACTTTCTATGTGAGCCCCTCAACTTATCTCACTCCTCGTATCCCTAAGATACCTTTAACCTTGGACTTATCTTTCAGGTTTGAGATGATTGCTAAGAAGCCTGCTGGGGTGATCTCAGGGGTTCAGACCAAACACCGCGGTGAGATCAGATGGTGTGATGAACTTCCCACTACATGCCCCATGTCACAGTAAGTCGTGTAGATTGTACCCGATTTCATCGTCCATTGGGGCTGTCGGGTAGCCTAGTGGTTAAAGCGTTCGCTCGTAACGCCGAAGACCCGGGTTCGATTCCCGACATGGGTACCATGTGTGAAGCCCATTTCTGGTGCCCCCCGCCGTGATATTGCTGGAATATTGCTAAAAGCGGCGTAAAACCATACTCACTCACACACACACACTCATCGTCCATTCTTCACGGATTTGTATACACTTCGTTCCTCCATCACCCAGGGCTGAAACTAGGTGGTCACGGGTGGCCAAGTCGTCTAAGGCGCCGCGATTCGCTGTGCAGAGTTGCGCCCCTTGATTTCTCCAGAAACCTATGATCTTGGGCTCGAATCCCGGTTCCCTTCGATTATGTTTGTAGGTTTGTCAGCACCAAACCCGTGCTTGTGGGTTTCACCGAAGTGGTAAACGTCTAAGACCTGCATCACTTGGAGCTTTCCTCCCACATTAAGCTGACACGCCGCGATATAACTGGAATACTGTTAAAAGCGGCGTTAAACCCAACTCACTCACTCCTAATTATGTGTAAGACATATTAACTAACCGTCCATGTGGAATATTCCCTGCTTTTCCCACAGGTCCTTCAAGAAACGCATGGCATCTATGATCGTGTGTCTCATGGAGGCCGACACAAAGAAGATGTGGACGTTTGAGGACTTTTTCCAGGACGCAGAGGGCATTCTGAAGAAGGAAGCCATCGTAGTTCTCAGCCCCACCTCTTTCGTCAGCCCCTTCTGTAGGCTCTACATAAACGCCTCGCAGAGGTAAGGCAACACTTGCAAATTTGTATATTGACGTTGTCCCTTTGTCCTTCTCGAAGATTGGTAGTGTATATTAACGTTATTGACCCTCAGTGTCCGTCTCTGAGGTATTGGTTGTGTATTTTAACGTCGTCGACGCTAGTGTCTATCTCTGACGTATTGGTTGTGTATGTTAACGTTGGCGACCCCAATGTCTATTACTGGACGTATTGGTTGTTTATGTTAACGTTGTCGACCCCAGTGTCTATTACTGGACGTATTGGTTGTGTGTATCAACGTTTTCGGTACACAGTGTCCGTCACTGACGTATTTGTTATGTATGGTAACGTTGTTGATCCCCAGTGTCCGTCTCTGACGTATTGGTTGTATATATTAACGTTGTCGACCCCAGTGTCTATCTCTGGACGTATTGGTTGTGTATGTTAACGTTGGCGACCCCAATGTCTATTACTGGACGTATTGGTTGTGTATTTTAACGTTGTCGACCCCAGTGTCGATCTCTGGACGTATTGGTTGTGTATGTTAACGTTGGCGACCCCAATGTCTATTACTGGACGTATTGGTTGTGTATGTTAACGTTGGCGACCCAAATGTCTATTACTGGACGTATTGGTCGTGTATGTTAACGTTGGCGACCCCAGTGTCTATCTCTGGACATATTGGTTGTGTATATTAACGTTGTCGACCCCAGTGTCACACTGAAGTGTCGGTGGTGTATATTGACGTTGTCCAATCGGCAGTGTCCGTCACGGAAGTGTCTGTGGTGTATATTAACTTTGTCGACCCCAGTGTCTGTCACTGAAGTGTCGGTGGTGTATATTGACGTTGTCCAATCGGCAGTGTCCGTCACTGAAGTGTCTGTGGTGTATATTAACGTTGTCGACCCCAGTGTCACACTGAAGTGTCTGTGGTGTATATTGACGTTGTCCAATCGGCAGTGTCCGTCACGGAAGTGTCTGTGGTGTATATTAACGTTGTCCAATCCGCAGTGTCCGCGACACCCAGAAGGAGCTGGAGCGTCAGACAGGGGTGTTGGTGACGGAGCAGCTGCTGATGCTGGAGGATGTGCTGTTGACGGAAATGGTGAAGGAGACGGACAGCATCCAGGAGCTCCGCAGGACGAGCCAGGAGGAACCTGTCATACTCCTACCAGGCAGGACGCGGCATGACGACACGCGGGACGTGGACCCCGTGCTAGCAGAGATTGAGGGTAGGAGAATAACACATACTTTGACCAGTGACCGAAACATACCCACAACAAAACTCCTAACAACACCTTTTTGTCCACATTTTTTACTTCATAAATTATATGCTTGAGTTTAATTTATTGGTGAAACATTAGTTGCTTGTTTGTTTGTTTGTTTGTTGTTTAACGCCGCAATCAGCAATATTCCAGCTACATTGTTCATGACGGCGGTCTGTAAATAATCGAGTCTGGACCAGACAATCCAGTGATGGATATCATGGGCATCGATCCACGCAATTGGGATACGATGACCTGCATCAACCAAGTCAGCGAGCCTGACCAGCCAATCCTGTTAGTTGCTTCTTACGATAATCATAGTCGCCTTTTACGGCAAGCATGGGTTGCTGAAGACCTATTCTACCCCGGAATCTTCCCGAGTATGAAACCTAAGTACTTGCTTTGACTGTGTTTTTAAGTTGACATTGATTACAATATTCATCAGTCCGACATCACTGATTGAATGGTTGAAATTTAGAGGAGAGTATTTCAAACATGTAACATTTGACAATGCCATTCATATACGGTCACATGATTACAGACGACACGACCAGGTTTTCGTCCTCGGCTGGTCAACCGGATGTAGATTTCAAGCATGCCAAGCGTCTCATGGAACACGTGGCGCTCATACACAGACACAGTCACGTGACGTCACTAGCCCAGAGACACTTCATTGGCGTGAGACGGAGACTGAGGTTAGTTGGTGTTAGTGTATCACGTTGTAATAGTTCCAAGTATCCTTGCAGTTACCTGTCCACAGCTATGCATCAAAACCCACATTTAATTCAACACGGATACATTATTCTACCAAGCATCCAACAAACTTTGTTTTTACTGAGCACCATCAAACACTCTTTTTAATTTCACTATTAGCACAAAACCGTAGACGTTTATGTATTTTCCACAATACAAACTATTCATATTTTTTACCAATGCCAACAAACTATTAATTTTGGGAATGTTTCTGAACAAAGTATTCATTTAAAAAATGTTTCTATACTGTCCTTTCTAGCCACAGCTAATGCTTTTATAGTTTTCTATGTCGAATATAGAGATATATGTAGATCATCTAAATATTAACATTAAATTACTATAAGACAAATAGTACAGTAAACTACGGTTATAACGAACTCAAAGGGACCACTAATTTCAGTTCGTAATAACCGTAGTTCGTTATATGCGTATACAGTATATATTCATTAAATGGCCGGGACTAAAAAATAAGTTCGTTATATCGGTCAGTTCGTTATAAGCGTGTTCGTTATAAACATAGTTTACTGTATTGAACACAATCAACTTTTTATGGATCGGGTGGTCATGCTCGCTGACTTGGTTGATACATGCCATCGTATCCCAATTGTGTAGATCCATGCTCCAAATGTCAATCACTGGATTGTCAGGTCCAGACTCGATTTTACAGAGACCGTCGTCATATAGCTGACATATTGCTGAGTGTGGCGTTAAACAACAAACAAACAAACCAGGGCCTAGATTTTGAAACGATCTTAGCCCTAAGATTATCGTAAAGTTATCGCAAGGAAATCGTAGGCTATCGTAGCCCATTTTCGAAACTATCGTAGCCCTAAGATATCTTAAGTTTGTCGTAAATCTAAGATAGCCCTATACCTATCGTAAGTTTATTTTATCTTCATCCAAGATGGCGGCATACTTTTCCATAGATATTGTGCCAAACAACTAGTCCGCTTTACGTTCAAACATTGACATTTCATTTTGTAAAACTGAGTGATTCAAATTGACACTTCGAAAACACGAAGAAAGTATCAAGGATTTCACGTCAAAAATGTTCTTAATCGCGACAGCGATACACATAACTGTGGAGTCGATAGCTTACATTATTTTTCTATCCGAGTCCATGCTGAAGAAGTGTTACCTTTTCGATAATTTGGGAAGGATAAAAACGGAAGGTGTCGGGCGGCTACAGTAATGACCGTGACCTTATTGATAGTTTAGGGGGAGCTAATCTTAGTTCAAACTCTAGTTGAGAGTGGTTTCCCTTTGTATTCGCCCGGGACACCTTGCTCAATGGTACAGTTTTCATAAAGCTCAGAGCTCTGCTGTTATATTTTCTGAGTCGCATTTGTGTCAATGCTTTAGTCTTTATTTTCGCATTTTATAAAATTATATCAATCTACATATGTAAAAACAACCATAAAGGTTTCGCATAAGTTTTTACATCTAAAATCGTGTGGGACGGGTGGTTTTAATAATTGAATTTTAACTATACAGTGTAGTATTTATTGACTTAACAAGGAAATACATGTGATCAAATATTTGTATACAATATCTAATATTTTTCTTGCAAAAGTAATTGTAATTTGTTTCGTTTTAAATTCAATACCTACGTTATCTATATCCTCTTGAAAGACAAATATTTGATAAAAAGTGATTAAAAACTGTCTGTCGAACAATTGCATTCTTTGAAAACAGGTGATTAACGGCATACAGATGTATTCCCTTATAAATATAACAATTTACTGAAATTTTGACAGCAAAAGTTAAGCACAGATTTTTGTATCGACAAATCAAATAAAAAATGAGTTCCCATGCTCGTTCTGGTTCTCGTCAAAATGTAGCATAGATTGCACATTGTCCAAAATTCACTTTCAAATATATGTTCGCGGAAAAAAATGTTTATTGAATGAAATTTACTGATCAACATAAAATACACATTTTCAACACAATAATCTTTGCATTCAATAAGCCGGTTTTAAAATATTTTGGTCTTTTTAATATTTAAGTCTACATCTTCCCGTTTTATGTTTTAAACAAAATATAGATATCCTTGAGACCATTCAGACAATAAAATCGTTGTAACGTATAGGGTCAACGGACAAATACTAGTAAATGATCCTCAGCAATGCTGTCAGACAAGCCAAACATCATCGAACTACATTCTGGAATAGATTTGACACATTACAAAGTATTTCGTTCCTCAGCCAGATTTAAATGAAATCAGACAAATCAGTTTATTAGCTCTACTTAATTTAAAAGGATAGAAAATGACTACATTATATGTATGTTCACGTTAACTTGTGGCGTGTTCCATGAGACAACATAACTTGACAATTCCTAAATTATCTCTCTTTGCGAACGAAAATTAGTGTCACTTTTAAATTTTGAAAATAATTATGGATCTAGATAGATAAAAAAATAATTTCATCATCTAAATACTGATAGCTTGATATTGTATTTAAGTCCTTGGTTTATTCGTGAAATATATTGGATACATAAGTAACAAAACAAACTTAACAAGCTTAGATTGTCATATAAACTTGCTTGTGGGTGCGCTGCTTCCTGAATAATTTTTGTTTTGAGTGTTTCCACGTATAATGTTGGTGTTTACACTGATATAAACTTGACTTTTGACATAAAAATAAAAATAAACAGTATACATCACTTAACATCAGACTTGAACACGCATGTTAAATGCTGAACGCATATGCAGCTGGGAAATCCCCGTGACGTCACTGGGAAACACCCCGCTTTTTCAATCTCTAACACAAATGAGTTCTCTGTCAGAGTTACGACAGGTATCGTAACTCTGAACGATCTGCGACAGGTTTACGATAGTTTCGAAAATCTATCTTATCTTAACCTTAAGATATCTTATCTTTCCACGTAAGTTGTTAAGATTTATCTTAGCTAAGATCGTTTCGAAAATCTAGGCCCAGTACAGGTATCTTGGTGTTTCAGGAGGAAGCAGAAAGACCGGGAAGACAGTGTCGGTAACAAACACAGCTATGTCTCCGATCTGTTCGAGCACGTCAATTATCTAGCCACGACCTTGGTCGGTCGTCAGGGGCCATCAGTCGCCAGTGGCAGCATCATGCAAACAGTTGATAAGGTAAACGGTGACCTTGACCGTTGTCCGACAATCGCTTTAGCTTCTTTATTCGGAATGACACGAGTGTTTAAAACAGTCATTTCCTGGAATGACACAAATGTTGAAAAGAGACATTTCCTGGAATGACACGAGTGTTTAAAACAGTCATTTCCGGGAATGACACGAGTGTTTAAAACAGTCATTTCCGGGAATGACACGAGTGTTTAAAACAGTCATTTCCGGGAATGACACGAGTGTTTAAAAGAGACATTTCCGGGAATGACACGAGTGTTTAAAACAGTCATTTCCGGGAATGACACGAGTGTTTAAAAGAGACATTTCCCGGAATGACACGAGTGTTTAAAAGAGACATTTCCCGGAATGACACGAGTGTTTAAAAGAGACATTTCCCGGAATGACACGCATGTTTAAGAAAGGGCATTAAATGGAAAGACACGAGTGTAAAACACGAATGTTAATGATTGATGCATTTTCTTAATATCACAAGGATACAAGGATTACAATCTGTTTCAGATACGGGCGGACTTGGAGGTATGTGGAGGCTCGCTGGCTGCACACAGCTACGCCAAAAGTGATGACGTCAGTCTGGAGGCGCATGCGTGGTGCTTCGAAAACTGTTCATGGTGAGGCAGCATTAGACGGGTGTTTATTGGTTGGAGGCACACTAGTGGTGAGTCCGGTTAGAACTGGTCCACAGCAAACTGTGCCACGAGGCGAATTAATGGACCGGGTGGTCAGGCTCCTGTGACTTGGTTGATTGACTGTTCTTGTTGCTGAAAATATTAATCGCTGGATTGTCTGGTCCAGACGCGATTCCAGCTGTCATATAGCTGGAATATTGCTAACCTGACCATTGACCATCTGATCCTTTGAGCCTACCCTTACGACCAGCATAGGTTTCTAGACACAATTTCTAACCCGGAATCACTGGGGGTTACCAAGTTAGTGGCCTCTTGGACTACCAATGGGGTGCTTGGGTCTTGACTAATCTGATTTTGCATTTCTTGTCTTCAGCGAAAGGAAATATCTGCGTTGGTTCGACAGAGCGAAAGACATCGTGCCACACTTTTATGAAAGACGGAAGAAAAGGACGTTTGGCAGACTGGATGAGAGGGTGCACCAGATTGAAAAGTGAGTTGAATTATCAACTGAATACGCTGTTTTACTAACAGATATTCAAGGACACGGTGTGATGAAACTTGAATTGAATGACATTCTATCACTTACAGGGCCCAACTTCAACAAATTCACAACATGGCAAGGGAACATTGGACCTCACATTGTGTCCCCAAGAACAAGTTTTTACAGGACAGTTTCCACCAATGGGCGAAGTATGTAAAATCCATATATGTAGAGGTATATCAAGGCTCGCTGCAAACTCACATATACAACCAGGTCACTTGGATTCAGATCATATGTGCCTGGGCGATGGGAATAGCCCAGTGACTAAAATCTTATCAAGATTACCGAAGACCTAGGTTCGATTCTCAAATGGTGAAAATTTGTGTTATTGGTGCTCCCTTAACTGATATTGCTGGAATATGAAAACCCTACCAACTCGTATATATATCAGATACATTGATAGTGTCAACTGCTCATTGAATGCTTGCTGTAAAAGTAAAACACCAGCGTTAGAAATTGGCACTGGTCCTGTAGTCCTTGCCAAACTGCCCAATAGTTAAGGTATGATAAGGACTGGTAGAAATTTGCCCTTTTTAAAGGTTTTGCTATGTTATCATTATAAGGATTAGTGGTTCAAACCTGTTAGTTTCTACCGCTGAAAACACAATCAGTTACTTCCAATAGGCAATGACCAAACTGAGATTATTTCAAACACGTATTTTCAGAAACATCAATGTATATTCCTCCACACCACGTTGTTGTTTTGTAGGAATTATTACGAAACTGAAGACCGACTCCAGACTGTGGACAACAAGCTTGAGGACATCCAGAAGGCGTTGGCTGCATTGTCCAGACAGATAGCTGACTCACAGGTAGAGATATCTACCGCCCTCAATCCCAGCTTACAGGACGTTGTGTCTCGTTAGTCTGTTCCTGATAGTCGTGCCCACAAAGTATTGCTGTCCCAACTGACATCTTATTGCGAATCCACTGTTGATTTAATGCGATGTAGTGGATGTCATCAGATGTTTTGACAGAATGATTGTCAGATTTAAAACAAGAATTTTTTTCTGACATATTTTAATTCCGCCAAGCATTTCTAGCGAACAAGTACATTTTGGTGTAAAAAAATCAAAATCAAATCGTGCCTCACTGTCAGCTGATTTATTGTGCTACTTTGTTTTTCAGAAATCACAAATGTCCTTATCGAGTTTCTCTGATTCTGTCCGGCAGAAGTCTCTGTCTATAGACAAGGGGTGAGCTATCACTTATTTCACTAGCTATGTGCCATAGTTCCTTGCTGGTCGAAGGACCATTCTCTTCACCTGGAGTGAGGTGCTGTTAATAGTGGGACAGCACCCTCACTCACCTGAGACATCAGCGTGGATTTAGAGGTTACAACCCAGAAAGTGAAGTGAGCCACACTTGCATATTTTGAGGACAGTGGTTTTTAAAATGTTTATGTGGGTTAGACAGGAAAAAGGGACAACTTTGTATTTTCATAAAGAAATGCATTTAGATATGCATGGTAAAATCTTCTTACTATATCCTACCAAAGGCATATGAAGCGCCGCATTTCGCTGTGCAGAGTTCGCCCCGGTTATGTTTCTAGATTTCTCAGCACCATGTCCTAGCTCGTGGGTTTCACCAAATTGTTAAATGTCTGAGACCTGCACTACTCACTCTAGTACCAAACCAGCATTAACATCCTGACGCGATTGACTACACCGTTCACAAGATCAGTACTTCCGACGATGTAAGTTCGCGTCTGACGTTTAAATATTTGCCACCATTGATTTAAAAAAAATTAAAAAAATTATTTATTAATTTTGTTTTAATTTTTTTTTTTTGATTTTGTTGATTTTTTTTTGGTGGGGGGGGGGGATTATCCTAATTTGGTGTATTTCGATGCTGCTCATTGACGTGAACTAAACGGTTCCTTCCCTGCCTTCATCATTTCAGGGTGAAAGAGGAGTTGTCCAAAACCAAGGAGATGAAAGCGATTGTGCTGGATTTCAAGAACAAGTAAGTGTTTCCAGCGCAGCTAGTATTGAATCCTCAACAAGAATACCTCGTACATGAACCTTGCTCTATTGTAAGTGAATGAACGCTGCTTACACCCTCAGTGAGTGTGATTCCAGACGTATACCGACGACCCGTAAATAATCCACAGTCAAACCAGTGATCGATAGTATGAACAAAGTCCACGTTGCTGGGGTGCGATGACCAATTCTACCAGGTCATTGAGTCCGATCTGAATCCAGTTCATTGATCTTATGACATACAATAGGGTTCTAATCCGGATCCTCACTAGGTCTTGAAAAAATAATTGACATGTCTATTTGATAGATGGATAAAAAAAAGTTCATCATGTCGTAGGTCTTTGTCCATCGTCCGTTCGTTGGTATTGACCTTAAAACTCGGACATTCATAAACAATATATGTATACAAATAGTCTTAAGATTATCACGCTAAACAAGTACGAAGCTGATTGTTTGCTTGGTACTATGCGTTAGTCTGACGTCTGTGATGGTTCTTCTTGATGACTGTCACGGGGGCACGGGTGGCCCAGTCGTCTAAGGCACCGCGATTCGCTGTGTAGAGTTGCGTCCCTTGGGCCCGCCAGAAGCCTATGATTGCGGGTTCGAATCCCGGTTCGCCCCGATTATGTTTCTAGGTTTGTCAGCACCATAGCTGTGCTCGTGGGTTTCACCGAAGTGGTAAACGTCTGAGACTGGCATCACTTCGGGCTTTCCTCCCACATTAAACTGACACGCCGCGATATAACTGGAATACTGTTAAAAGCAGCGTTAAACCCACATTAAGCTGACACGCCGCGATATAACTGGAATAATGTTAAAAGCAGCGTTAAACCCAACCCACTCACTCACTCTTTGACTTTCACACGCATCGCTAATAATGCATGTACATGCATATCAGTCATTATCAGTATACAGCAATGACCCAGTTTCAAAACAAAATGACAGCAGACTTTAACATTAAATGACACCTTAACTGAATTGATGATTCGTATAAATAAATAAATATTGAGTAGAATTTTTAACTAGACCGTCTTTATAATCACTGGCATTTGGCTTGCGGGCAGGCAGCAATTTCAAACACTTTCCACTGTGCCTATGTGACCACTGTACATTTCCTCCATGCCCTGTCAGGGGACAAGGGTGGCCAAGTTGTCAAAGGCGCCGCAATTCGCTCTGTAGTGTTGTGTCCTTTCGGTGTACAAGGAGCCTAAGATCGAGGGTTCGAATCCGAGATTAACCCTTATTATGTTTTCAGCACCATAGGTTTCGTCACTATGGCCACCATCTATGGTCTGTCGTGATACAACTGAAATACAAACTCACTCACTACATCGCTCATTCCACCGCCTCTGTGGTCTAGTGGTAGAGCGTCCGCCCGGTCAGCGGAAGGTCCGGGGTTCGATCCCCGGCCGCGTCATACCAAAAGATGGTACTTGTTGTTACCCTGTCTGGCGCTCGGCATTAAGGGGCTTAAACAAGGATGGTCGGCTCGGAGTCTGTATACTGTGTCTCAGTGGGTTATTCTTGTTAAATTGCGGCATGATATCTCAGTGGGCTAGCACTATAAATCGGCATCAGTCCGGACTAGTACGAGCAGACACACACGCACACGTACATGCACGTCGCTATATAAATGCAATTATCTTGGACGCGAGCTTACCCCATTTCACATAACGTCACCATCCCTGATTCACTCACTCACTCACTCACTCAATGTTCTGTTCGCAGGTACTACGAAGTACTGAGTGACCTTGAACCACCAGTTGAAATTGACCTTCATGGTATACACTAGGAACTACGGAGGCCTATGGGTGGTGACCAGTAGAAGCCCTGAACGACACTTTCCAGCAGAACTCGTTTACTGTGATAGTCATTGGTTGAGATTCAACTAGACAAAACTTTATTCATGTATATTTTATCCTTGTTTTCAAAAGTCCCGAAACTGCGGATAATTTACTTTCTGCCTCAGGAATCAGTTATGATTTTTTTTGGAAAGGAGTTCCGAAATCATCAAAATATTATTTAGGGACTGATCATGAACTGTAAGGGGTAGCGGGGTTGGGGGGTGGGAGTTGTTTGGACTGTATCATGTTTTGCCCACCACCACCCATGTTGTAATAAAATTTGACGTAAATTGTAATACGCATATTGTAATAAAAATTGACGTAAATTGTAATAATCTCAACTTACGGTAAAATGTAATAACTTTTCACGTAAATTGTAATAACCTTATAAGTTTATACAGGGTTTATCGTACAATCGTCATTAAAGTATGGGTGTGGGGGAGGATTGAGGTCGTTATCGTACATTGTTGAATAATTATATGTATATATAAACGCATTGGAATTTCATTTCTATGGTTGTCTAGAAAAGGATTAATTACTAGAATGAACTTAGTTTTCTTATTTATTTTAGAAATACTCTGTGTGTTTTGTACTTAATTGTAATATATCCTATTGACGATTTTCATCATAATTGTTCATATTTAACCTAATGGAATCATATTTCAATTGGTTAAGTAGGTAGTAATATACACAATGGAATAATTATAAGGTAACAAACTTACACAAACATATTGATGTGTAAATGTGGAAAGTCTGAATTTTACTGACTGAAGCAAATTTATCTATTTTGCAACTGTATATTTGTACATATTTTATGCGGAGAGGGGTTTACTAAGTTGCAAGAACTTGTCCCCAATACAATTTTCATTTTGTTCTGTGAATAAAATATGTTTAAGCGAAACTAAACTAGCAAATGGATGACATGTCATTCTGCAGTAGTCTGTGTGCAAGCTGATTTATACATGTTCATATACATAATATCAATTTATTATTATTCAAGTTTCAATTTTTTTAACGTTGCTCGGAGGATGTAAAGCAAATAATGACAATGTCCTGGGCGATGTACATGTAGGTATGTGAACCCGCAAGGACTACCTTTAATTTATCGATTATTTTACGTGCAGCTTGTGTCATGTCTGTATTGTTAGAATGATACTCTAGCAACTGTACACATCGAAATTTATGACTGAAAAATCCATCCTCGGGTTAAAAATGATGGATTACAATAGGTACGTCTATTCGACAAATAGGTTAATTGATTTATCATCCAATAGTAGCTTAGCTAGGAGTCCATTGCAATAACATTGAGTTACGAGTTACGGAAGAGAGCTCTGTGCAACCGGACCCTGAAATTATGTCGATTTGCATTGGAGGTTTACTTAATTTGATAAGGAGCACATAACCGTTTCCTTGAAACAAACGAGACAATTCAATCGTATTTATACATTCTATTTTGACGAAGAATTCAAATACAACAAATGAGTGACAGATCTCCTGTGCAATGTCAAAGGAAAAAAACCAGTCGTCAGCAAATGCAGCATAGATTTCCCATGCATGGGAAAGGAGAATACTTATTAAATAACGTTATATACAATGTTTTTATGAATATCAAAAGAGGGGCGTGGATATTCTTTACCCTCATTGCATACACTATTAGATATTGTGTATTCTCGATCTCTGTGAACTTCTCTCAGATAAAGAAATGATAATAAATAAATGCAAACCATGTTAACTTATGCAATATGTGTAGCAATGTATGATTTACATATGGATCATTAATATAACTTGAAATATTTCCTTTCATAGGAAGAAGTATATTTAATGAAATAAATGAATAAATGTAACTGTCTGGATTCCTTTCATATGTCATGAAGAACTAACAACAACTTACTGACAACTTTTGCTGGGATAATAACTCCTTGCCCCAACAACAAAAATAGAATCCATCATGATAACGGCACGAAATCATAATTCAAAGCATACACAAATAATATCCGGTATCTTCGGGCATGTCTTGTTGAGTTTCAAAGAACATCAGAATGTATAATAAATTTGTTGCAATCAATTATTGATGAAATATATCTGTTTTCTTCAAAATTGAAAGGATGGAAAATCTATAATGAAAAGGGTTTTGTCACTAACGTAAATATTCTCTTTGACCTTATACGAAGAGTATTCTAAGATCATTAAACTCGGCAATCGTTTGTGGATTGCGCCAAGCAACCTTGATACCAAATTTGGTACCTCACGTATAATGCGGTACATAATTTTCGAAACAGATAATTACGTTTTTCATAAGTTATCACTAATTTGTGACATATATACGGACAAAAATTACCCCAGAGGATAATCTTCTCTGGGGGTTTAAGAGGATTAAAATAATTCCAGCTAACATCAAGCACTGTAATGAAATTACAACATACTTTGTTAAAATTCTGATGAAAAGACTAGTAACTATCTAAGAAACCAAATCATACTATTGCTGCGATACTTGGGCCTCATCAGCATAGACACACAAACACAAACAAACACACACACACGCACATACACACATATACATTCACACATACACACACACAGAGATACAGACACAAACACGTGTTGCACACACTACATACCCATACAAACACACATACACACACACGCACATACACATTCACACGCGCACACACACACAGATACAGGCACAAACACGTGTTGCACACACTACATACACATACAAAAACACCCCCACACAAACACTATATGTGTGTATACATGTACGTATGTATGTATGTATGTATGTATGTATGTATGTGTGTGCGCGCATGTAGGTGTGTATGTAATGACAGTAAATGTGAGCTCTATGTCATTGGTATCACATATATGACTGCACTTCTACATACTCTAGATGACAGTATCATGTACGTAGATGGAAGTATGTAAGTGGACGATAGTATCTAGTGTTTTCATCCACCAACGATTGTCGAGTTTAATGATCTTCAAGTACATTTCAAGGTCGAAGAGAAAATTTACTTTAGTGACAAACATATTTTCATTATAAATTTTCAATTCCTTTCTATTTGGATACAAGCAGATATATTTCAGCAATTGATTGCAAGAAATTTATGATTATTCGTCTACTCTTTGAAACTGTACAAGAGTTATCCGAAGATACCGGATGTTATTTGTGTATGCACGGGATCTGTCAACTCATTTGTTGTATTTGAATTCTTCGTCAAAATAAAATGAATTGTATAAATATGATTAAATTCCCTCGTTTGTTTCAAGAAAATGATCATGTACTCCTTATCAACTCGTATAGCGTTTCCACTGCAAATCGACACACTGGTTGACCAGCCTGTGTTTGTACCCTTCGTCATCACTCGTTCAGTCGTGTCGAACTGGTCAACGTACTGTTGAAGCAAGCCATGCAAAAAAAATCTTGAATAGCCTCATAAGAGTAATGAACAATATGTCACAATTAAGTTATTTGTCGAATATACGGTTGTGTAACCCATCATTTTGAACCCGAGGATGGATCTTTCAGTCATTTAAATTTATCGATGTTGATACCACCCTTTAATGACGATTGTACGATAAAGCCTATAGCTCAACTGACAAAGATCATTTCTAGTCAATTGGCGTCTTGGACACTGCGGTAGTAAGGTTATTACAATTTACGTAAGAATTTATTACATTTACCGCAAGTAGAGATTATTACAATTTACGTCAATTTTTATTACAATTTGCGTATTACATTTTACGTCAAATTTTATTACAATTTACGTTGTTATTACAATTTACGTCAAAATTATTACAATTTGCTGCAAATATTACAATTTACCTTTTTATTACAATTTACGTCGTAACAACGTCAATTAGACAATTTATTGACATTTAATTTGAACTTTATTTCATGTTATGGTTGTTATAGTGTGTATTTCATATTACATTGGTGTTCATCATATTGTATTGGTGTTCTAAACAGATAAAGTATTATATCATGGCTGAATGTATAGATAACCAGCGGAGAGTCCAGAGCGGCAGCCTCACATCGATTCCCGACATTCTTACAATGAGCACGTTATCTCAGGGTATCAAGGTCTGCAAATGTAAGATAGGAGACCTTGCATACTTGTGTACTCAAAATTTATATCACATGATATTTTTCCGTTTACTTTTAACTTTAGTTTAGACTTTTATAAGTTGTTTATGAAGTTAGAATCAGTAATGTTCAGTAACGAATACCATTGCACTAAGATGGCATACAGTCAGTATCGACTGACAGCGTACTACGGGGGAAATATTGCTAAGGGTGTTTGTTTGTTTGATCATATTGAGGTAGACCAACGCACCATGCAACTACGACTCTGACAAGTATCTCCTTGGTACCCAGGGCTCTGGTATCACTTGCAGTTACACATCCCCCCTTGCGTTCTCTTCCAAAACCTCGTGGGCGGTCGGGTAGCCTAGTGGTTAAAGCGTTCGCTCGTCACGCCGAAGACCCGGGTTCGATTCCCGACATGGGTACAATGTGTGAAGCCCATTTCTGGTGTCCCCCGCCGTGATATTGCTGGAATATTGCTAAAAGCGGCGTAAAACTATACTCACTCACTCCAAAACCTCGTCAAGTCAGATATAAACAACAATCACACAATGTGGCTGTGGACCACGCCGAGGCATTTACTCTGCAATGAAATTTCCTTTTACAAACACCAGTAGCGTCACTAGCCTTGATCCATATGATCTCAGAACCACGCCATTCACCGACACTGTAACATCTTACTGTAAGATACATGCATGTACCAGGTACCATCCATGCTTTGTGGTTCAGAACCATACTCGTCACTGTCACGACAATTTGTCTTGCAGCAAGACTGCCAACACCTGACAACAGAAAATGTTCATAATGTTGACTAGTGTGTACATGACTGATTAACGTTTTTCAATTACCGAGACTGTATTTACCTGTAGGCTCTAGCTGCTACAGAAACCAAAATCACACAAACAGTTTTATATTAATCTAGTAATCAAGAATATCATGATGTGAAGTTATTCGAGTTCGAATCCAATATTCGACCCGATGATGAACCTTGTGTTGTAAATATGTTGTGTAGCTAGAAATACCTTGCTGTTAATGTCTAATATTATTCACACTTGGAGAGTCTGGGGGAACGGTTGTCCAGTATAGCGCAGTCCGCTCTTCACAGTGGCGTAAGTTTCTGTACCAGCATCCGTTCGACTGCAAGATTCCCCTTGATGTGTCGGTTCCATATCATTCTCGTGGGTTTCACCAGCGCGCTTAATATCTAAGCTGCGCTCCCACATAAAGCCGGCACGCCATGACAGGCTGATATTGAAAGCAGCGTTATTCCAAACTGTTTTTTTACGCCGCTAGGGACGTAAGGTAGACAACTGAAGGTGACAGGTTTTATACAAAACACTTGTGTTTTGGGTTATGTTGCTAACCTGGCTTTAGATATGTTTCTCTTATGTCAATGAAGTATTTCTGTACTTCGTAGGAAGAATCAACAGTATTCTTTTGATCCCAAAACATGATACCTCCCAATTCTTTATTGCCATGAAATATCGACCAAAAGCCGCCAACTAAGTGATTATTGTACATAATGCCATTATGTACAGAAAACTACCGTTATAACGAACTCAAAGGGACCACAAATTTTAGTTCGTAAAAACCGTAGTTCATTATAAGCATATATACAGCATATACACAACAAATGGCCGGGACTAGAAACTAAGTTCGTTATATCGATCAGTTCGTTATAAGCGTTTTCGTTATAAGCGTAGTTTACTGTATGTGTATCTATTGATCTTTGTTAACCCTCATAATGCTATGTCTTGTACCCTTGAGTGAAATAAAGTTTAGTACAACCGGAGTGAACTGTTCGTCACCGGAAAGAGCCGATCGTGTTCCGATAGAATAGTGACCGGCATGTGACGTCACATGTAACACTATGACGTCATTTTGCCTGTGTGTGTCGGCCAGTCAACTTGCATGTGTCTCCAAAACGGTGACTATACTAGCCAATCTGATAGAGTGAGTGAAGAAGATAGGATACACACCGATGAGATAGATGGGTGAGATATAACAGGATATAGAGGATATTGAGTGAAATATCATGTTTCTCTCATCGTGTGACGGGGGAAAGGAGATATTTTCACCACGAATGAAAAAGTCTACTTTCCCCGTCACGAGATGAGAGAAGCATGATATGTAAAGAGACACATGGACTATACTATTTATCATATACTTTATGTGTATTTTTTACCGGCAATTATCATTACAAATGTAAAACCTTGAACCGTAAATTCTCGATCCTAACACACAGGGACGGTTCACCACCCCTTGTAATTGCGACTTCAAAAATAGTTCTGAGTTAATCTTAAAAATATATACAAAAGTAATACAAATATTTGAGGTCACTACAATTCTTTATCATACATTTGGATGTGATTAAATACAAACTCTATTTGTTTTAAATATACTTGAAAGCTACGAGACTGCTGTTGGAAGGTAACACAAATGGTGCTTTGCGAAACAAACAGTCTCGATTGACGAGTTAAATGAAAAATTTACAGTTTATAACGAAACATTTTGAAGAGACTGACGAGTTAAATGAGAAATTTACAGTTTATAACGAAACATTTTGAAGAGACTGACGAGTTAAATGAGAAATTTACAGTTTATAACGAAACTTTTTCAAGAGAATAACAAATGGCAAGAAGCTATATTAACTCCGTAAGTAACCATCTGTCATAACTTTGTCTTGTCAATATGGAACAAACGTGAAAAGAAAGTCAACAGTTTGTGTACGGGCTAGACACTTTCGATAAAGGGAGGCAATTTGAGGGGAGGTAACACTTGTATGACAATAGTTCCGTCAAAGTGTTGTGTTCACTGCAATGAAAAAAATCGCTTTTCTCAACTTCAGAAAACTCAGTCTTTCACACTGAAGTATATAATAAATTCGCATAATACACAACTGCCGATGGGTATCTTGGACATCGTATCTTTGAACATCAATAAATGTACCTTTTTCAGCTCAAATTTACATTTCAAACATGGTCGGGGTCGTGTGGTTGCAAATTTCATACAGTTTCAGAGTTTTCATTGAACCAATTTTTTTATACACAACATTACTCGATTATTAACAGACCCCCGTCACATGGCTCGAATATTGCTGAGTGCGGCATTAAACAACAAACAAACAAACAAACACAGTTTTTTGTGGGCACACTTAGTTCCACTACCTCTTATATACCTGTGCGCTGCGACATCTTTATGATATATTTTGAGGTGGATTCTATTCGCCATCTTTTCCGATGATATTAAATATACGCAAATATGTCTTTTTTGGAATTCGATTTTACACATATTAGCCCTGGGTGGATGTTTGCGATGCTTTATACAGGGGGAGTTAAAGGAACGACATGACGTTGGAATGAAACATTTATTTTGTGACAGTGATTCTGATTCAATTTGTTACAAGTACATTGATAATAAATATGCTACGTAGAATACGTTTCTTGATGGACAGTGTAAATTATATAGTGAAATAACAGCGATGATTGCTATAGTGAGTGAGTTAAAATGTAACGTCGCATAGGCATCATTTCAGCCAAATAGATGATTTGCTATAATGTATTTCATAAGTGATAGACCCGTGAAGATTCCGGGGTAGAATAGGTCTTCAGCAACCCATGCTTGCCGTAAAAGGTGACTGCTTGTCGTAAAAGGCGACTAACGGGATCGGGTGGTCAGGTTCGCTGACTTGGTTGATGCATGTCATCGATCCCAATTGCGTGGATCGATGCTCGTGATATTAATCACTGGCTTGTCTGGTCCAGACTCGATTATTTACAGACCGCCGTCATATAGCTGGAATATTGCTGAGTGCGGCGTTAAACAACAAACAAACCAACCAACCATACGAGATAATTAGGGTGTGATCAAAGTAAGACGTTTGAATCGATGTATTTCTGTGTCACAAATTTCGGGCAGGTTGTCAGTTAAATGTCTGAAGAGATACTGAATTTCGAATGTGACGCCCTTTTACAGTTGTAAATAAATGGTCATGTGCAAAACTGACCAATCAGAAAATACGTTATGGCCACACCGGCACAGGCTAATTTGCATATCACGTGACCAGACTTTTCCCTTTTTTGTAAACAAACTCGCTTATTCTGCAATCAACGGACTGGCCTAATGAAAGACTTTTGTCGCGGTTTACATATTGTTTTACAATAGTTATACAGATATCTTACTACAACCACAACAGTGAGGAGACTGACGATATGTCTTTGTACGTCAAAGTGCCCGTATCGCCAGCTCTCCATAAGCCATGACGTGGTGACGAAGTTGCGTCAGATGTACTTCAAATGACGGGACGTCATGTGGAGATAATAGGCATTCGTCACTCGACGTTACATTACGATTCCTCTGTCACATAATTCCGAATGTGTAAGTGAGGGTGACCATAACGATGGTTAGAAATCCACCCCAACGTCGTTGATCATGAGGACGACCAACATTCCTAGAAAGAGGTGATATGAGTTGGAGGCGAAACCTGCCCCTGACGATATCTTGTAAGATGGTAGGTGTTCGTAGCCGTTGATAGCGTGCTGGAAACGTACTTGGGGGCCCATACAGGCGTCGACAGCTCGTCTGGAGAGGAGTCTCTGCATGATTTCCAGGTACAACACACCTGGCTCGTGCCCACAGGTGCGAGTCACTGACTTGAAACCACAGGCCATCAGGTCCTCGATCGTCCTGTTAGGAGATGTATACATATATTTTCAAAACCAACGGTAACTGTGATAATATTCCCATATATATTACTGTGATTTACTTACTCTCAAATCACCTTTCTTCGAATGTTTAATATATATGTGGTGGACGCACCATCAGACGTAAGACTGACGTGTATGACATGTTTGTGGTGGACGCACCATCAGACGTAAGACTGACGGGTTATGACATATTTGTGGTGGACGCACCTACAAACGTAAAACTGACGGGTTACGACATATTTGTGGTGGACGCACCATGAGACGTAAAACTGATGGGTTATGACATGTTTTTGATGGTGTTATGAAACATATATGGCCAATGTATTATGGGATGTAAAACCGATGGTCTGTGCGTCTGTTACCGAGAGCCGAGCAACTGACGACCACTTGCCCCTTACTCACAGACGACTGGGTCAGGGTATGACAGTTTGTGTTTTATAGCTATTCCTGAAACAGGTGGGTGATGGTAACATATACTGGCTGCTATCCAGACAACTATCCGGAGGTATTTATTCGTGGACTCGACGTAATGAGAAAATACGAACCGACAGTGTCTTCTAGACAACTCATCTAATGACTCCGTGTGCAGTATGGGGGAACCGGACCGGAACTGACGTCTGCTCTCGAGCAAACACGCGCCTGTGGTGTTCTGGGTAGCGCGGAAACAATCGCCATAAGCCGCATACTCTGAAATAAAGTGAAACTAAGTTTCTTAAATGAATGAGATAGGTAAACACCAGATTTAACCATACCGAGCTATAGCCTGTATATATAATGGGATTCACACATTGTACCAATGTTGGGATTCGAACTTAGGTCTTCAGCGTCAATCACCACCAGGCCGCCCCGCCGACATGTTTCAAACGTGACATTGCTATTTTAAAACATCTTTAACACTAATTATTACAATATGACACAATAGAATCAATAGTACACTTACTGTGTATGAGTGAGGGGGTATCGCACAGACGAACCACGCCCCTTTTCACCACGCTTTCCACGTATATCTTCAGGTTCTCACGGGAGATGTAATCAAGGGCTTGACATCGTCTTAAGTTTTCTTCCAAGCATCCTTGCCCGTTGAAGTAATGCCTGTAATAGTGAGTGAGTGAGTGAGTGAGTTGCATTTTACGCTGCTTCGAACAGCCCAGTTGTATAACAAATAAATGAACGAGTGTGGTTTTACGCCGCTTTTTGCAATATCACGGCGGGGGACACCAGGAATGGGTTACACACATCGTACCAACGTGGGTAATCGAACCCAGGCCTTTGGCGTGACGAGCAAACGCTTTAATCACTAGGCTACCCCACCGCCCCGGTTGTATAACGAAGTGTCAGCTTGATAAGGGGAAAAAACCCTAGGTAGTGTTGACTGTTGACTCAAGAATGAAATGCTACCAGTACGTACTTGCAGAGTTCCGACACTTTCTGAACATCCCCTGCTAGAAGCATCAGCTCGTTCTTCTCAACACTGCGCTCTGTCGTCTGCAGAATGGGGCGGAAACACTGGACCACGTGATCAACATGGCGACACCCGTCTCCATGCGCAGCCGCCAGAAGCAGTAGTACTGTAACACGAATGAGTATTAGGTACATGACAGGGGCAAGTAACTCTTACCACGCTCCCAGTTGCATTTATCATGTGTCAACGAAAGTGAACGTCGAAAGGGTTAACGATCGAAAACGAAAACCGTAGCTGTTTTGGAACCTCGAGACGAATCCTTATTCACAGACAACAGAGTACATTGCAACTTGCCCGTTGACCACTGGACGAAGGCAGACGATCTCCGCTTTCAGTAAGGGCTCAGTCACACATTCAGGATTTTTACTGCCGTCCTTAATAGGACCATTCTCGATTAAAATTTGTCAAACGTCTTGATCAAGATCCTGTGATTCGTGGCGGGAAATTCACAAACTATGAGATATTGTTCAGTATGCGTCCCGATTCAGGCGTTTCCAGCCGAATTCGTCCCGATTCTCCCGTTCTCATTCCGAATCTGATCCGATTTGTATCTCCCGCATGGTAAAAAAAAGACCGAATCTGCCCCGACAGCATCCCGATTCTCCCGAATGCGATCCGACAGAGATCAGACAGTGAACTGACAAAGACGGTTCGCATTCGGCAAGATCTGGACGAAATTGTCCAGAGTAGATTTGATTTGTGCAGGTCGAATAAACAATATAATTGATGGTTGGACAGGACCTAGAGGGATCTTAAATCATGAAATTTTAATTGTGAGCAACTGAAATGCCATTTAACCATTTTCACAGTGTCGTCACGTTTTACGGCTGTTTTGTCTTTTGCGCTCAATGGAATCTGTTTCGGCGGACACTGAAGTCTGGCTTATCTCTTAAGTAAACGGACCGCCTCCGTGGTCTAATGGTAGAGCGTCCGCCCGGAGAGCAGAAGGTCCGGGGTTCGATTCCCGGCCCCGTCATACCAAAAGACGTTGACAGATGGTACTTGTTGTTACCCTGTCTGGCGCTCGGCATTAAGGGGCTAAAACAAGGACTGGTCGGCTCGGAGTCAGTATACTGTGTCTGAGTGGGGTATTCATGTTAAACTGGGGCATGGTATCTCAGTGAGCTAGCACTATAAATCGGCATCAGTCCAGACTGGTACAAGCAGCCACACAAACACACACACGTACATGCACGTCGCTATATAAGCGCAATAATCTTGGACGCGACGTTAATCCCCATTTCACCTCACCTTCACCTCTTGAGTTAACGTTTTATATTTTCCCTGGCTCAAGGGAACGTTTTAAGATCTGTTTATGCCCTGTGGTCATCAAGTGACACTTTCAATACGAGTTTGACGAGTGCACTCAAATGTTTTGGTGTTTGTTATACACGCTGGCGCGGGTTTTTACCATACATTGCGAGGAGTGAGTGAGTTAGTTTTAACGCCGCTTTTAACAGTATTCAAGTTATATCGCGGCGTGTCGGCTTAATGTGGGAGGAAATCCTGAAGTGATGCAGGTCTCAGACGTTTACCACTTAGACCCACGAGCACGGCTATGGTGCTGACAAACCTAGACACATAATCGGGGCGAACCGGGATTCGAACCCACAATCACAGGTTTCCCAAGGGACGCGACTCTGCACAGCGAATCGAGAATCAGGCTGGTGCCACCAAACCACATGTCGTGACAAAGAGATATATATGTCTTGGGTTGAGTTGGTGAGTACTTATTCACTCTAATGTAATGTGCCGATGACTACAACATTTAAACTGTTTAATTGAATGCTTAATGGAGAATGAACCTACTGTATTAAACAGATATATCTGCACACTCCGTCGCAGTGGTGACTCAGCATAACACCACTGCCACAGGCTAATTTGCATATCACGTGACCGGACTTTTCTCTTGTTTGTAAATAAACGCGCTTTTTCAGAAATCAGTATAGAACGGACTAATGCAAGTATTTGGGGGCGCTTTACATGTTGTTTTGCATAACTATATAGATATGCTACTACAACTGCGACAGTGAGTTGCATGACAATATATATTTATGCATCAAAGTGACCGTGTCGCTAGCTCTCCGTTGCGCTTCGATGACAGCACGTGGAGCCGTACAACCAATGTAAACATAGGATAACTACGCAAAAACAAGTAGATTTTTACGTATTTGCATACTTTCTCAATGAAAGTTAACCATTCTTTGACATTTGTTTATGAAAATGTGTAGACTTGTCAAACATGAAACGGATGAAATGCATATGCAATATCTTGAATGGACTGTGAAAGATGTGACGAATCGTCACATGGCGCTGGCCTGTGGCAGAGGTACTATGCTAGCTGGCTGCCGGCCGCATGGAACTCTGGGTAGGAGAGTGATATATCTGGTGCTATTTACCTTCACATCGAATCAAAATTGCAAACACTTGTTGTTATGATACTAGAAATCGAAACGAAATACACCCACTCCGTGTTAATAACAACATGTAAATTTATTATAAAATATAAAAAATATATTAAAATATACGTGAATTATCCCGGTTGAATATCATAGATAGGAAATTAACAGTGCTGTGCCAAGACATGAATCCAAGAAAAATATGTAAAAAACAAATCATTTTTTAGGGGTGATAAGGGTGTACATAACGTTTATATACGATTAAAAAGATGTATACTCACAACCTCTTACAAATCCGGCGGGCATGTCTACAGTGGTGTTCGTCCATTGCTGTTGCTTCTTTTCACCTCGCATGCATGGGAGTGTTAATCAAGTTGCCATGGAAGGAGGCAGATGGTGTTGTATGTTTTCAGGTGAGAATCATGTGCGTCAAAGACAGAAGTCAGCGTTAATAATAGACAAACATTTCGTACCAGAAATAAGTTATCTTATTTATAAATATACATGTACAAAGATTTAAAAATCCTTAGTTTCTTAATTTCCTAGAGCCGAGGAAATCTAGACTGGCCAAATTATTCTGGACTCCATTTGTAATTTAAGTCTTTGAAAGGCATTTAAAAGTGATACACATAAGGAAGAGAACTTATGGATGTCAACTTCTTTATTATGAGTAACACAACGTTTTGGAGTATATGCTTTGGGCTTCCATCGTTTGTTATGTTATTACTTTTGTTGTTCTTACAGGTACATACATACATACATACATACATACATACATACATACATACATACATACATACATACATACAATACGGTTATAACGAACTCAAAGGGACTACTAATTTTAGTTCGTTATAACCGTAGTTCGTTATAAGCATATATACAGCATAATACAGCTAATTATCGGGACCAAAAAAGTAGTTTGTTATATCCGTCAGTTCGTTATAAGCGTGTTCGTTATAACCGTAGTTTACCGTACATACATACATACATACATACATACATACATACATACATACATACATACATATACCCTATGGCATTCATTCACCTGATGAAGAAGTCAGAATATACTCTGAAATGTTGTGTTATTATAAGTATATACTCTGAAATGTTGTGTTATTATAAGCATATACTCTGAAATGTTGTGTTAGTAATAATAAAGAAGCTCTTCTCTTCCTCATTTTTAATTTAGTCTCTAGGGTATAGACACACTAAGACACTTCCCTGGCGAATATATACCGTAACGAGCCTGTTTGTGTCTTCTGATGTGTTGTGGTCGTTGTATGGAGCAAGCACTATGTTAAAAGAAGGGGTGCATTTATGGTTTTTGGCAATTCGCGTTCAGTGTAATTGTGTATATGATCACATGAGTTTGTCTTAGTGTTGTTATGCGTGTACTCTTGGTATAGTCGATCTCCTACACAGAGACACACACGCATATACAAACATGAACACACACACGCACGCACATGCCCACACATACACGCACGCACGCATATAAATGTTAGCGGCATATTCATAAATTGAATTAAAAGAAAACTAAAACTCTTGAATAGCGACCTGTTCCGCTAGTGATTTTACTGTCATTTCAAATTTACTGAGAAAACAAAAAAAGGCACTGATATTTTTTCAGATAACATCTATGCAATCACCCGATCCAGGAAATATTACCTACTACTAGCACAGAGTTGTTTTTATGCAATAGGGCAGTTAGACAAGTAGTAGGCACCCCAAACGTGAAAACGTTTTATGGTAGACATGTGGAGGATATTGTCAAATTGGAGGCAACATTGTGTCCGATGTAATTCCCTATTTTGACGTGTACCATATTTTTTTCAGCTGAACAGTTGACTTGTCTTTGCATGTCTTTGGGGCGGATGGAGCAGGATACGCTCACCTCTCCGCGAAAACCAAGTATTATTATTATTTGGCAGTGATTCATAAATACAGAAAACTACGGTTATAACGAACTCAAAGGGGTCAGGGAAAGGGTTTTGTCACTTTTAGGTACAATATCACTATATACACAAACACATACACTTCACAAGAATAAGGTTACCCTAGGGCATTCCGGGTTTAAATAGGCCCCAGCAGAATATGCAGGTATTAGGAGGCGACATAAAGATTGTCAGTCATAGTGCTAATCACTGGATTGACCGGTCAAGGCTCGTTGTTTACAAGCCTCTGTCATGTAGCTGGAATAGTGAGTACGTTGTTAAACAACAAACAAACAAACAAACAACAAAACAAGAGCCCTGTAGGGTTTGTGTTGTTCAGTGTATTTAACTTATAACCAAATATGAAACAAATGCTGATCTATACTTCACATATTAAACGACCATTTATACGAAATACACCCGTGAAGATCCGGGGAAGAATAGGTCTTCAGCAAACCATTGCTGTAAAAGGCGACTATGCTTGTCGTGAGAAGCGACTAACGGGATCGAGTGGTCAGGCTCGCTGACTTGGTTGATGAATGTCATCATATCCCAAATGCTCATGATGTCAATCACTGGATGGTCTGGTCCAGACTCGATTATTTACAGACCATTGTCATATAGCTGGAATATTGCTGAGTGCGGCATTAAGCAGCCAACAAACAAAATAAATCATACGAAATACGAATTTCATGGGCTCCTGGGTCACATTTAACAAAGCAGGCTAAGGCGTTATCACAGTCTTAAATAAGTCACACAGTGGGTGGGAGAGGGAGGGAGCCTACTTGTACTAGTCCGGACTTATGCTGGTTTCATAGTGCTAGCCCACTGAGATACCATGGCACGGTTTAACATGAATACTCCGACTATACTCCTAGCCCCCCAGTCCTTGTTTTATTCCCTTATTACCCAGGCAGGGTCACAACAAGTACCATGTTTTAACGTCTTTTTGGTATGACGTGGACATGAGATCGAACGAACTGTTTGATAGGCATAACAAGTTTACGGATGATGTAGTAGACACAATATATGGATAACAACTTCTTTAATTACTCTAAAGGCGACGTTTCGGTATAGATCCTTATACTGTTGTCAAGCAAATTGTCAACGGTATAAGGATCTATACCGAAACGTCGCCTTTCTCTGGCAGCCACTCTATCTAATGGTCAATCTCAAGGGTTTGGATTGGTCAGATGAAAGGTCGTACTGACGTGACCTGTAACGGGACGTCTTCAGATCTTTGTTTAGCGGTAGCGAGATCTAATTAATGTGGTTGTCCAAATGACCACGGGTGCGGTCGCGATCGGAGTGAGTGAGTGAGTCAGTCAGTTAATATTTAACGTCACATCGGCAATAGTTCAGCCATATCGTGCCGAGTGTAAGTTTTGAGTGAGGGAGTGAATATGATTTAACGCCGCTTTTAGCAATATCGAGGCGGTGGACACCAGAAACATATTGTACCCATTTCGGGAATCGAACCCGGGTCTTCGGCGTGACGAGCGAACGCTTTAACCACTAGGCTACCCGACCGCCCTGTACGTTTTGAAGTCCAGAGTAGACATATACGGTTTGATATATGGCGTTTAGGTTGTAAATAATATACATACTATGTGCAGTTTGTGTTACCATAATAACCCAGGGGCCAGAGCCTCGTTTGACAAGCGATCTCAGCGCTATGAATGTGGGAAGTTCAATACTCTGGCTTTGAAGAGTGGGGCTCTGGGGTGAGGGTGTTATGCCAAGAAGACGCGTCTTGATCCCATGAACCTTTGTTGGTCAAATGTTGAGACTTCAAAGCCGTTTTAATCCGGTTAATCAGGGAGGTGGTCGGGAATAGTCGTGAGCGAGGGGGTAGGCAGAGAGATGGAGGTCTGGACTGGACACGCTAGTTGTCCCCTCTGTTTGACAACACACTGTTATCGCCCTGCGCCCGCGGCGTTGCCAATGAGCGTAGCCACATCACCAGAACAACGCATCATGGACTGATGGAGGACAGACTCATGCAGCTTTTAAACGACCAAAGGGAAGCTACGAAAGACACTCTGGGTGTAATTTTCAAGTATTTTTCTCGTCATTTCAATTATTTCCCCGTCATCTCAATTATTTTCTGGTTATTTCAAATTTTTTCTCGTTATACGCTTTTTTCTCGTTACATCAATTACTGTTTTCGAAATTTCGAATTTTTAAATAAACCTGAAATAACGAGAAAATAATTGAAATGACGAGAGAAAAATCGTAATTTCGAGTTTTTAAAATAAAACACGAAATAACGATAAAATAATCTAAGTAACGATAAGAAACTCTTTAATTAAGTAACAATAAAATCTTGAAATTTCGAAGAATTAAATAAATAATTGTATCAACGAGAAATTTTGATTAATCAAAAGAAAATTATACTGCCAAAAAGGCACCATCAGGGCTTTGGTAGGTAGCAGCGTGGACCACACTGAAGTGCATGTCATGTTTGTATCAACATACAGAAATTGCAAGTGATTACGTGGCATTTGATAGACCAAGAAAAATAGGCCGCTGTTTCCTGATTGGCTGGTAATGGAAGGGGCGGGGCTTGTGGTGCATTATTGCGCTGAACGATGTCACCTTGTCTAGTGTGTTTTGTTTGTTAGTGTTTAAATAAGCTGTCTGTGAAGTTATTATTATTGACGTATTTGTATAAAAGAATCGAGTTCAATATGTCTTCGCGTTTATGGAGATATAAAAGTGAAAACCGGATTTACACAGTATGTATACACACTGGTTTTTGCATTATATGTCTCAAAAACGCGAAAACATATTGAAGTCACATTCGTGACCAACTCGTGTTATTCCGGGACAAGCCGAATAGCGACTCGTGCCCCTCTCGTGGCCATTTTTGCAACCTGGTTCCGCCTTAGCGCAAACGGGCATACCTAAAACAATTGTCAGCTCGTTGCGCAATGGTTCACAAATATTTCCCAATATATTATTTATATTCCAGATGAAATTTAAAGCACATCAGGACATGCGAATTATACAGTATTATTGAACACATTTAACTGTGTCGTGGGTATATTTTTAGATGCAAGACATATGTAAAAACAGAAATTATTTCTGAGGGATTCTTTGACGAAGAACTTGAAATTATACGCGCATTCTGATTGGTTTGTCGTATTTTCGCACATAACATTCATCGATAGGGGGACGAGTCTTCTTGCAGGTTACGGAAAGGGGCGAGTGGTGACGAATGATTGAAGTCACTGATATTTCAAGACGGGGATGAAATCAACGAGGTCTTTTTGTCTTACCTACTAATATACCATATCATGCTCAAATTCCAGTTAATGTCTGAACGTTCATGTTTGATTAATGGTCTTGCATGTTCACACATGATAAAATCACACGACGAGGCAAAGTTCGGGTAAACTGATGAGGACAAAAATTATAGTTTTTTTATGTACTTGAAATTTGAAAGAACTGTTGTTAAGTTTGATCATGTCTATTTAACCTTCACTAATTCCTGCATCAGTTTGTAAAAAGTAATCTTTGACTCGGTTATTTTGTGTAAAACAAATTTGGTTTTAATGAAGACTCGGGTAAGAAATGAATTTGCAACCACATGACCCCAACCACTGTTTGAAATGTTTTAAAATTGGTGCCCAAAATACACATTTATGGATTGTCAAAGATAAGATGTCTAAGATATCCATCAGCATTTTTAAAATGATTAATTTTTTAAAAAGTATACAAATTATATTTTATTAATTAAACAATGAAGCAGTATTCTTTGAGTGCTGATTAGGCGCTCGAACAGTTCATTTTAAAAATATAATATGGCTAACTTACGATGTTTTCAAATGCATATGATAAAATCAATTGATGGGTATAGTTTCTTTTGCTGCTCGGTTTATTCAAGTGATTGGAAGCAACTCAAGACTGACTGTGATGGACGAGACACAGTCCTGGCTAGAGGGCGAGGAAAGCTCTAATTCGTCCACGTGATTGAACCCGTGAAGATCCGGGGTAGAATAGGGGTTCAGCAACCCATGCTTGTCGTAAAAGGCGACTATGCTTGTCGTAAAAGGCGACTAACGGGATCGGGTGGTCAGCCTCCCTGACTTGGTTGATGCATGTCATTGATCCCAATTGCGTGGATCGATGCTCATGATATAAATCACTGGATTGTCTGGTCCAGACTCGATTATTTACAGACCGCCGTCATATAGCTGGAATATTGCTGAGTGCGGCGTTAAACAACAAACCAACCAACCAAACCATGTGATTGATCGAATATTGTTTTACGCCACACACTCTGATATGGCAGAAATATCACTGTGGTCCGTATGTATTTGAGTCCGGAGAAGATATACAAGTGGTTGGTCGTACCATCAGTCGGGATACTGTGACACAGACAGGTCACCCGATTGCCGATCGGTACATGGTCTCTGGTCGGTATCTTCCAGCTGAATGGGGTACTGGGGATCACGTGATCGCACGTTGCATTTGTAATCACTCTCTTAGTTAATCGTGATTGGATGTTGATAAACGCCAGTCAGCAACACCCCACCTATATCAGGTAATCTGTAAACAATCGGGTCTGGTCCAGACAAACAAGTGACTTGGAACCTCAACTGTCTCAGAACCCCCAAACGTCGAGGGATCTGTTTTACACATGTGAAATTCATCAAAGATGCGTAGCACGAACAAAAAGCATTTACAATTTATCAGTAACGTTTCAAATCAAAGCCACAAAAAAATCCATTATAATAAGAAATGTCTATTAAAAGCGTCCATTGTACGATTCCGACTATATCATAAGCATGTGTTCAGGAATCACAAGTGAGGGTATAGGCCGAATCCAGGACCCAACCCCCAAAAGTACTCGAATCTGTACTGTACTGAAAAAGCGTTATCCCAAATATAACATTTGTTACATTTGACCACTTTCCAAACGGCATTGTGAGTTCATGTAGATGTAGGTGTTCGCGAAAACCTACGTGTTTAATTTAATAAATATACAACATGCAAACCCAATATTTCGACTAATCACCCAGACACGTTTCTAAACTCCCCCTGAAAGTCACGCCTGTTTGTGTGTACACTGCCATATTGGGAACCACATCTATCCTAGCAGCACACCTTGATTTGACACATATATCTGAATACTTGACATGTCCGCTGTAGCTATGCAGGGTAATACACAAGTAAGGACTACTCCCCGATACCCTGATAAGAAACCTCGGGTATATAAGGGGTATATGTACGGATGGCGGGGTTTGAGACAAAGGGACGCTAGACATCATGAAGATTCTTGTACTTGCATTGATCTGTGCTTTGGCCAAGGCTGGACCCGTTCAAAGAGGTCAGTTACATAGTAATTAATACGTTTAATGTTAAACCAAGATATGAATTCCGAAACATGCCTTGTTGATGAATAATGAATGTATATTATATATAAATTTATTAAACCTCTGCCGGGAAAAGCATACTCATTTAATGTATCCAGTCCTCGGCAGTGGTTTGAAAAAGGCGTGACGAAACCATTAATTTATTTCTAACATTGCCATTTTATCATTTTTTGGCAAGAATATTATTTTTCTTCAAACGCATATCTTATCGACTTTCTATATGTTTCAGAGAACAGGGCATCAAGCGGCTGCTTGGGTATGTCAGATAGCAAACAGCCTCGGTGTGGAGCCGTGGTTTTACTGGTTGTTAGCAATATTCTAGCTATATCACGGCGGCCTATTACGAAAGGTGTCAGGGCCAGAGAAACAAGTGGTTGATAAGCGTCACCGGGTCGTAAATCCAGTCTAGTCGCGATCTAGTGACCGCACCGCTTCCCCTCTCTCTTAATTGTCCGGCTCCCGTCCCCATTCGGCAAAGTCCGGCGGTCGCCATACTCTGGTGTTTCTGTTCATTGTTAGAGATTTGGTGACCCGTAAATTATATCTGAATTGTATTGATTTGACGTATGTTATCTCGTATATGTATGCAAACTTACCCTGTATTGAAAATGATTTTGTAATTTTGATTTTCACGCTATAGCGGGAAAGTCAAGGGCAGGTAATTTGAGGTGGGGTGAAATGAGTTTTAACATCGCGTCCAAGATTATTGCACTTATATAGCGACGTGCATGAACGTGTGTGTGTTTGTGTGGCTGCTTGTACTAGTCCGGACTGATGCCGATTTATAGTGCTAGCCCACTGAGATACCATGCCGCAGTTTAACATGAATACCCCACTCAGACACAGTATTCTGACTCCGAGGCGACCAGTCCTTGGTATAGCCCCTTATTGCCGAGCGCCTGACAGGGTAACAACAAGTACCATCTTTTAACGTCTTTTGGTATGACGCGGTCGGGTATCGAACCCCGGACCTTCCGCTCTCTGGGTGGACGCTCAACCACTAGACCACGGAGGCGGTCGCAGGTAATTTGAGGTTGCGAGAACTACGGGAATGGATCCAGGGGTTAGTGTAGGTTTACCGGAATGAGATCCCTGGAGATACAGAGGGTGCCAAGTCACCTGACCACCCGATCTACTGAGCGATGGAACGTAAGGTTTGAAGCGCAGTATATAGACATAGTGTAAAGGTATGTCATATAAGCTGTAAATAACATACATTATTACACCGAATACGTGTATTTTGGAACCAGGGACACCGAGTCTGACCATCCGATCCCATCAGTTGCCTCTTACGACAGGCAGAATGGTACTACTGACCCATGATAGAAAATAGCAATACAGTTTGTTATTTCCTATCATCGTGTAGAATTGTTGCTATCAGTGTTAACACATACAATATCCACGTGTGTTGTCTGTTTCAGAATAGTGGTTGAATGAAGGAAAAAACACTTTAAAAAAACAATTTAACTCTTGAACTTCGAAATTTAACTGGAATACCAGAAACGGGCTTTATTCATTATGCCCACGTGAGGAATCGAACCTGCTTCTTCGGAGTGACGAGCCAACGCCTTAACTAGCAGGCCACCCCAACTTCACGTATCAGAGAACACCGAAAATTTGATATTCGAGAAGGGGCGGGGAAGATTATATTGAAAAAATAATAATTGTGCTTCAGGCTGTTGAAAGAAAAATGTTTGCCATAACAAATAGTTGCAAAGTATTTTTAAAAATATATTGTTACGTGACGATTCAGGGTTAGAATTGGTATTCAGCAACCCATGCTTGTCGTAAGAGGCGACTAACGGGATCGGGTGGTCAGGCTCAATGACTTGGTTGATGCATGTCATCGTGCGGCCTTAAACAACAAACAAACAAATAAACAAACATAAAAAAAAATATAGGCTCTCACTTTTAAGTTTATTTGGTTTTGCATGTGAAGCTAAATACATATTCAATCTCCATTTAGTCACGTTTGTTTATTTTGGATTCGCATGTTAAGGTGACTAAACGTTGCTTGGCAACCTAAACGTGAATCACATTAGAACTAAGATTGCTGCACATCGTGCTTGGCATAACACATTGCACCTGTCTGGAGGTATTGATAGAAATGGTTTATGTACAACATTCATATCGATTAATCTTGTTTTGGACGTGGTTGTTTACACGATATTACGTACGTCGATATTTAAGCATCGTCGATTACCCAGTGTACTTATCTCCATTCTTTTAAGACAAATACGCTGGACACATTCGCCACCATAGATTCGTTCAGGAAGTGACGTCACCGGCTACATCTGCCTTATCAGCACCCTAGCACAATATTTCTGTCGCTCACTGAGTGGACAGCTATTTTTAGCGTCGCCTATTCGAATCGGGATATTATACATACTTTTTATGAAGTACCCAAAGTAGTGAGTGAGTATGGTTTTACGCCGCTTTTAGCAATATTCCAGCAATATCACGGCGGGGGACACCAGAAATGGGCTTCACACATTGTATCCATGTCGGGAATCGAACCCGGGTCTTCAGCGTGACGAGCGAACGCTTTAACCACTAGGCTACCCGACCGCCCAGTACCCAAAGTAACAAAACAGACGTATTATGAAGTATCTAAGGTAGCCAAAATGGATAGATATATAGATTAACACACATAAATGGTAATAGCATAATACATAAAATAATAGTATGATCTATGAAGTCGGACAAGACAGGCATAGTATCAACCATTAAGTAAAACAGGGTTTTGACGTCCCTTTCGGTTTCTCTCATTCAAGATTTGTTTTTACTTTCGTTTAGTATGGCGTTTATATTAATAGTGCTGACTGATTCTCCACTTTGTTCCAGATGCATTTGCCAACATCCCTAGTCCGTGCCATAAGAACCCCACCAAGCAGGTCTACTTTCCCCACCCTACCGACACTACCAAGTTCCTTCAGTGCGACGTGTTCGAGCGCATGTACATCATCCAGTGCCCCGTGGGAGAACTCTACAACGCCGCCACCACCTCATGTCGTCCACGTAACCAGGGCACACAAGCTCCTCTTGTAGTCTCCACCCAGAGACCCGTCCAGACCAACGGACCCTTCCCGACCAACAGACCTGGCCTCTCTGGAAACCCCTGCACCCCACAGAATATTGCACAGAACAATATTTACTTCTCAATCAAAGGCGACGACAGCCACTTCATCGAATGCGACCCCCTCGGCAGTGCCAGCATCTTGCCCTGCCCGGCTGGACTCCGCTGGGATCAGAAGGTCGTGGCCTGTGTTTACCCGCCCAATATGACCCCGACCAATAACCCTGTCATCCTTCTTCCAACCACAAAGAACCCTTTCGGAAACTCCAACGCCAACCCGTGCACCGCCGCAGCCCTAGCGTCTGGGAAGTTCTTCTTTCCCTACCCTGATGCGCACAAATTCATTCAGTGTGACCCTTGGGGCGATGTCTACATCAACTCCTGTCCCAGCGGCCTCATTTGGAACTCCCACCTCGAGACCTGCTTTTCACCCTTCCAAGCCGTCGGGGGGATCGTTTAACTGTGACTTGAGGTCTTGGAGTGACTGGCCAAATTTTGAGGGGATTGTTTCGGGTATCCTGAAAAATGCCATTGTATTTGCAATCAAATGTGTTTGTATTTAAATTAAATAAAGATTTTTTTATCAAAACTATATGTGTGTGCGAGTGAATGAAAGCCTTCGGCATGGCCAACGAACTCTCCAGGCCTTGAACTTCTTAAGACGCAAATGCATGACTGGCAATGAATGATACCTTGACCTTTGATAAACGTCACTGGCAAGATAGGTAGTAGTCTAGATGTATGTTATTATCAAATTCCATGTCTGTTGAGGTAACAATAACATAACATAGTATACAAAAACTTACATCTTGGCCATTAGACCTTCAGACTTTTTTTCAAAACTTTTCAATTACTATAGTAAATTAGGTCAATTAGGTCTTCTTCAACATCTGACCCCTGAAGATCCGGGGTAGAATAGATCTTCTGCAACCCATGCTTGCCGTAAAAGGAGACTATGCTTGTCGTAAAAGGCGGCTATCGGGATCGGATGGTCAGACTCGCTGACTAGGTTGATGCATGTCATCGTATCCCAGTTGGGTAGATCGATATCCATGTACAATCACTGGACTGACTGGTCCAGACTCGATTATTTACAGACCAATTGGGAAGATCGATACTCATGTACAATCACTGGACTGACTGGTCCAGACTCGATTATGTACAGACCAATTGGGTAGATCGATACTCTTGTACAATCACTGGACTGACTGGTCCAGACTCGATTATTTACAGACCAATTGGGTAGATCGATACTCATGTACACTCACTGGATTGTCTGGTCCAGACTCAATTATTTCCATTATTTGCTGACCGCCGTCATATAGCTGGAATAGTGCTGAGTGCGGCGTATAAAAACAAAAATAACAAACAAACAAAACAGCTTCATACAGACAGTGGTTGTGCGGGTTTCATGTTCAAGAGTGGCGGTTTTTGGTGGTCAACTGCATAAACGGACCATACTTTATACAGTATCCTAAGTCATTCATTTTGGAGAAGAAAAATGCAAGTACATTACATTACATTTCAATAGAATAGAAATAACAAGTTATGGGTATAAAATGACGGACGGGTGCAGACGAGGTGTCAAGAGCTGTGTACATGTGGGACTAAACTGGTTGTCAGAGTCGTTGTTGTTGTTGTTTGTTGTTTAACGCCGCACTCAGCAGTATTCCCAGCTATATGACGGCGGTCTGTAAGATAATCGAGTCTGGACCAGACAATCCAGTGATTGACATCATGCGCATCGATCCACGCAATTGGGATCGATGACATGTATCAACAAAGGCAGCGAGCCTGACCACCCGATCCCGTTAGTCGCCTTTTACGACAAGCATAGCCGCCTTTTACAGCAAGTATGGGTTGCTGAAGACCTATTCTAACCCCGGATCTTCACGGTCCACAAAACTGTGACGTCACGACAGGGAGATGATAAGGACACCGTGTGTGTGTGTTTAGTTATGTCCAACCTGAAGGGTCGTCGTGGTATGATCATAAAGAAACATAAAATGTAATTGAAATGTTATTGTATTTCTTAATATACATGTGTGTGTGTGGGGGGGGGGGGGGGGGGGGTCCGGGGACATGAACAGCAGAACAGGTAATGCAAGGGTTTATGTAACAGATGATATTGTCCAATATATCGAAGGCAATGAAGATGCAGCTGATGCCCCTCCCATGTTTGAGATGCCAAGACATTCAAGTGACAACATAATGAATAATTTCAGTAAAACACTATTGAATATATGTTCACTGATACGTGGATAATATAATATGTCCAGTATTTTTTCTCGCTCCGTTGGCTTAAGACAAGGTTGCATGCTAAGCCCTTTCCTATTCCAGTTTTTTTTATCAATTAGTTGGTTGTAGAAGTGGTGTTCAGTAACATTTTGATAGAGTTCATATATTTTTAGTTCTATTTGCTGATGATTTAATACTTTTGGGGGATGTGGTGTTTAGCCTTCAAAAGAAGCTAAATATACTACAAAAGTACTGTAATATCTGGAAAATGTCAGTGAATTTATCAGTGTAACAACTTTTTGCTAATATGTCCAGCCTAGACTCACCTTAGACAAATGTACATCAGCTCCATATAAACTTAAAACAACACAACAAATCTGACATATATATTTAATAACATCTTTTCAATTAACATTGATCTCACATCTCACACAAACACCCTACCATCTCACGAGATCTCACGTCACTACACAGTATAAGTGTACACTGAAGAACGTTCTTTAGGAGGCTTGTTGTAGACTTTAAGTGCCTTAGGTGGTTTGATCTTGCGACCGTTATAACCAGTTTTCCGGTGCCACAATCCACTCTTCGGTCGAACCCCGAACCATCTGGCTCGTCCTGCTGAACCAATGATCTCCTTGTCGTGATCCACATTGGACACCCGGCCAATCGTAGCCATACAGTCTGCAGCTACGGCTATTTCCCGCTTGGAAGGCAGTCGCAACACACACTGATCGCCAAGTTTGCGGACAACTTGAGCGCTGGTGCCTGCTGCTCGTGCAAATATTCCTCCCTCTCCCGGGAATGTCTCCAAGTTATGGACCAGGGTTCCTATGGGAAGAGCTCCTACTGGATGGGCATCACCCTCTTGGCCTCTCACTGCAAGAATAACAGCTGTCTAAAAATGTCCCTAAAAGTCACGTCTATCTATCACTGCATAATTCTTGGTGATCAGGGCCCATTTCCACAATGCAATCGTAGTGGTAAGATGATCGTAACTGCCATACTTTAACATAGACTTATGACAGTTGTAGTGCTACGATCACTTTGTGGAAGGGGGCCCTGGTACTTTAAAAAATTGTGTTTCTTAAGCAACACTTTCTTTTAGAATTAGCTTATAGATTCGCCAAACCCAAGAACATGGAAAATTGTGTGAAATAACCCCAAAAGTACTTTTTTCTAAAACTAAAAGACAAATAGGTTACAATCAAGAGAATTTAATAAATGACAACAACAGCATAAGCTCCAACTAACTACAGCAAAATTCAGAGAATGTTTTGAAGCACTATTATCTCACCTCTGATCCACTGGATTTGAAGTATAGTTGTACAAAGTAGGAACAAAAAATAGACAGTCCTACATACCCGGTACATAAATTAGAAATCTAATTGCATTAATCAAATAATGTAAATTTTAAAATTATAACAAAATAATATTCCAAGACCTTGAGAACAAACTGATACTTTAAATTATCACTATGTCACCAAGAACTCTTACTAGTGCATAGGATGTACACAAGTGCTCAGATTAATTTGATAACTTTTACTCCACAATTCTCCCAGGATACATGTCGAACATGTGATAGTGGCTTAATTGTTCTCACCTGCAATTTTGGTTAATTTGCCTGATGTTTTGATGATGTCCCCCGGCTGCATGTTCTGGGAGGCAAGGATGTAGCGCTTGTTGGTGCCGCCCGCCACAACAGCGATGTCTGATGAACGACAGGGATCATAGAGCACCTCCACTACTTGTTCCTCGAGCGGGGGTCCATCTTTCGGGCCAACGCGCTTGAAGTCAACCATTCTGTATCTCTGCTTGGCACCTCCACCAACGCGGCGATTAGTGATTCTTCCTGCAAATAACAGAAATATATGTAAGCTTGTGTCATATCACTATTCACAAAGGCAGATCCAGGATACTGAAAAAGGGCTCAGTGAACGCTACTTTGATCATATGATCAAAATCACATTGACAGTTTGACAACAGTTGTTGAATATGATGTCAGAAAAAGGGTGTGTGTGCATCCCCCCTGGTTGGCCAGTGATAGGTTATACAGAGTTATTTCCCTTACCTACTGAAATGAACAAGCTCCTTACACTGAATTGACTTCATCAAGCTTCTCACAGCAATAGCCCATTGCCAAAGCTCTATACCAGTTTTACTTTGACCTACAAAACTAGGGGTCCACAAGACCCACAATTACTAAATTCATGGGTCCTAACAGGAAATATTAGGGTCCTGTAAAGTAATAAAATGGTGCAGTGTACTGTACTGTGAGAAATGATAATTACCTTAACTACAGGAGATATATACAGTAAACGACATGCATCAACCAAGTCAGCGAGCCTGATCACCCGATCCTGTTAGTTGCCTTTTACGACAAGCATAGTCGCCTATTACAGCAAGCATGGGTTGCTGAAGACCTATTAAAATTATTGATCCCTTTGAGTTCGTTATGACCATAGTTTACTGTATTTCTTGTCAAGAATTTGGTACGATGAATATTTTTGTGCATAAAATACTCTCGGTAACCACAACCCAATACTAGAAACGTGGTTGGCACTGAACCAGACAAATACTTTTAAATGATGGCCATGTCAGATGGGGTTTAGAAGATATGTGAATCTGTGTGATTTTTCAGGGAGCTTACCCTTCTTGGTGTTGAATCAAGGTTTGAAGCCACCTTTTGGAAAGCAAGAAGACTAGGACACTAAAAAATCTGACATTATCTTGACAAATAAGCTGACATACAGTGAGTGAAAGAGTTTAAATGCCACGTTGAACAATTTTTCAGTCATATCCCTGTGTGTCAGCTTGAGTGAGGGATTGAGTGAGTTGGGTTTAACGCCGCCTTTAACAGTATTCCAGTCATATCACAGCGTGTCAGCTTAATGTGGGAGGAAAGCCCGAAGTGATGCAGGTCTCAGACGTTTACCACTTCGGTGAAACCCACGAGCACGGGTATGGTGCTGACAAACCTAGAAACATAATCGGGGCGAACCGGGATTCGAACCCACAATCATAGGTTTCTGGCGTGCCCAAGGGACGCTGCTCTACACAGCGAATCGCGACGCCTTAGACGACTCGTCCACCCGTGCCCCCTTGTGTCAGCTTGAACATAAGATGTTAACCACTTTGGTGAAACCCACGGGCACAAAATATCTAGATACATAATCAGGGTGAACAAGGATTGAAACCAACGATCAGAGGATTCTGGCACGCCTTAGGAATGAAACTCTGCACAGCGACTTGCAGCGCATTAGATGAATGGGCCACCCGTACCCAGCAAGGATGAAGATGAAAGAGCAAACATAACTGCAACTGTTACAACTGAAAGAGTAGCAGGATGCCTACAGCCATATGTTTTTAAACAGGCACAAGATGCTTCCTCCACAAAGATATTCATGTCACATCACCATGACACATTCAACATGTTCAAGTGATAAACAGTTTTCTATGATGTATATCTCAGGTTCACAAACATTCATATACCTCATTTCATTAAATGTGAAAAACATTCTGCATAAGTTTTTCTCACCACTTGAATCACGACCTCCTGACTTGGTTAATGGCAATGGTTTCAAAGTGTACTTATTGAGGTCAATGCCTTGATTGACAAACTTCATCTTGCCACTTAAGTTGGTGCTGGTGGTGATATTCCTGAAAGTAAACATGCATTAAGCTATAGCTTAGTCTCTGGGATCCATATAAATGAAGTAAAGGATCAGATAAGAATCACTGTACGCAAATAAAACAAAATAAACCGATAAATTTACACACAAAAAGTACTTTATTCATCAATATTTAACCATCTTCACAAGTAAAATATTTAAGCAGAATTTAGCCATGACCCTCCCTCTATGCATCTAAACGAATCAAAAATCATTTTATAATATTGTAATTTTTTTCACCATGTTCATTTAAATTATTAACCATGTTGTTTTTCCTTGATTCCAGATTGATGTTATTTTCACATTTATCCTACCTCATACCAGCTCCAGGAGGAGAGATCCTCAACAGCGATGACAGCATTGAGGAAAGACATGCTACTGATCTGCCCGCCTCCCTCACAGCCGCCATCATCACTTGTGTCGTCTTGTGTGCTGTACTGTATATCTGAAATAAGCAACATCACACATGACACAGGCCATGGCATTTATCTCAGAGCAAAACAATTCCTTTCTGTGAAGAGGGAAAGTGAAATTTGGTTTAACAGAATGTTCAAGATTATTTCACTTATATAGCGATGTACATGCCATGTGTGTCATGTGTGTGTGCCTGCTTGTACTAGTCTGGACTTCTGCAGGTTTTACAGTGCTAGCCCAATGAGACACCATGGCACGATTTAACATGAATACCTCATACAGACTCCAGGCCGATCAGTCCTTGTTTTATCCCCTAAATGCCAAGTGTCAGGCAGGGTAACAAGATGACCATCTTTTAATGTCTTTTGGTATGGCCAGTACATCGAAAACACTGGCCTTCTGCTCCCTGGGCTTCCTTTCAACATACTAAAAGGGAAGTTCCTGGTAATGGCAGGGTATTCATTATGTGTTGTCATGCACCTCACTGTCGCAGTTGTAGTAGTATATATATATGTATAATTATGCAAAGCAATATGTAAAGTGCACTAAGAGGCTTGCATTCGGCCTGCCTGTTCTTATTTCAGAATAAGCTTGTTTGTTTACAAACAAGAAATAAGTCTGGTCATGTGATAAGCATACACAATCGGTGTGATCATTGGATCAGAATTCTCTCTCGCAGATTAAGGCAAGCAGAGCTGAGGAAGCTTAGGGGTTATCAGCTAGAGTTTACAAACAATGCTTCGGAATGGTCAACATACTGTCCCTTGAAGATCCATAAGATTTATCTTGGAGCACTGCATTTTACCAGGGGCAATATTCACAACACACAAAAAAACACAACAACACACTGGTAATAATACTAATATGCAATACGCCCATCACCTCTTACTGATCCTAACACCAGTGCTGCACTTGACCACACAGTTTTTCACTACACACAAAAAGGCCCAATGGACCACTAAAGAATAGCAAGATATCTGACTGGAAACATGGGAAAGTGGTGCCTCATGGAAAGTACAAAGAAGTTTAAACCCATAAGTCATAATGATAAGAACAGATGAACAAATTGCACAAGCTGAGTCAGTAACAGCATGTGAAGGGGCAACAATGCAGTTTACTACTCCCTGTGAAGGCATGATGCTAGTTATATTATAGTTAACTTATGCCTTTTGAATACCTAGTTCACTGCTATTTACAGACATAAGGCAGCTATTGATTGTTCACTTCACCTCCACACGGCTTTCACAAGGACGCCGCCATCTTGAAGTTCAGCAAGGGGCCATAGAGAATGTATAAATGTTAAAGTTATTAAGAATCAATGATTTGTCAAATATTTCAAAACGTAATAGATATGCGGTCGTTTCTTTGAATTTATGTTCAATAGTTATCAAACGATATGTGTCAACAGTGCGAATAGCGCCAATGGCGTGATTAAACATTTATGGAAAATAAACGGTCCCTGAACACTTCTTACCGGAAGTTATACCAACGTGCTTGAATCGTGTTTTGTTTGTGCTAATTCACGGGAAGGCGTTGCATATTTTGCGCAGTCACATCATGGCATCTGCATTAGAGAGCTATGTTAATAGTATCCTTTGTATTTTTCATGCTGTGTTTATGTTGATGATAATGAATCAGCAATCATGGTACATTTTACTGGCAGTGCGGTTTCAGTCCTCCAGTTTTCGCGCAAAGGATGTTTGAAAATGTTATCCTTACTGTATGAGTTCTGAATGTATACGTGTCTTTGGTCGTCACTAACATATGTAGAATGGTGGAATTTATTGCATTTCTTTCATATGCAACTGCAGCTTTCAATTTAAAGTTTATAATGTAATTGTTATTAAGTAATGGAATTTCTGTCTCAAAATTAACAGTCTGGAACAGATTAGAGACCTGTATTCCTGCAATGATGGGTGTACGTCTTAGTTCTACGTTGTGTACATATTATGTTTGTTGTGTATAATATTGAATGACAGATTCGAGGTTATTTCCTTGACAACTCTTCTCAGAAACAGTGTCAGTGGTGACAGCTGATGGTCGGATCATTGTGGTAAGAGCCTTCTACAGTCAGTCACAGGCTACCTGCCCCGTCCATAGTTTAGTCTGGCCTGAACAGGACATATGGCTTTCACATTGAATCTTTAGAGTTCCAGATTAACTGTGTTTTTGTGTAAAATATGCATAAATCACCATATCCCAAATATTTTGAATTGCTTACATCATGTACATACAAATATACATACTGTGAACAATATCTGGAGCACTCATATTATTTTAAATACCCTGTCTAACAATATTGTTGTTAGTATTCTCTCTCACACTGCTTGATGGGAACTGGCTTATCAGCATTGTCAGGGCTGACACAGGTGATCTGTCATGTTCATTTATTTAACAAAGACTCAAACATGACAAATATTTCCTAGAATTTCAATTTAACCACAGCAGTTAGTTTTCTTTTTGATGATCACTTATCACTTGATTATGTTCCAAATGAGATCTATACTATCTATTACCATGGTTACATTCTGTAGTAGAATATTTGAATATAGCTCTATGTACATATTGTGTTTTATCTATTTATGCAGGGAACTCTTAAAGGTTTTGACCAGACTATCAACCTGATTCTGGACGAGAGTCACGAGCGTGTATTCAGCATGTCACAGGGCATGGAGCAGGTTGTCCTTGGCCTCTATATCGTCAGGGGAGATAATGTGTAAGTAGCTGAAATGTGACTATCAACCCGATCAACAAAGCTCCAGATATAATGCATAATTTGTATAAAATATGCACGTTACATCAACATTACCAAATAGATTTTGTGTTTCTTGAGTAGCAATATGCATGAAATTTAAAAAAATATAGTATTACAACACTGCACATAAGTACCCAATGTACATGATGTAGCCATTTCAACCTGCATATTCGTATTTGTTTATGGATTTATAGTTACCATGTTTACTGATAGAACTGCTTGCATCAACAAAACATGAACTCTACTGCAGTAAATAATGCACAGAAATTGATGACTTATTGTAGCTTAGACACGTATCACTGTTGTGAGGTTATGCAACATGTGACAAACTTGACGCCACGTCAACAGATACAAGTTTGAAGTTAACTTAAACATCCTTTCAACAGAACATTTTCAAGATTTTTTAAAAATGTTTTTTAGTAGGGTACATTATAATGCAGGGGAATAAAGTCGACACCTTGTATGTGTGTCCATCGATCCGTCGGTCTGTAATCTTTTTGTTTACAGAGCATAACTTGAAAACAGTAAATTGGTAGATACATCAAACAGATCCTGAAGTGGTGCCTTTTGCTGTTTTCTTGATATCCATGGAAACAATTTGTACTCTGTTTAGCTTTGTCATGTTTATGTAACAGTAAATGTGTGTGCAATTTTGGAAACTGGCAATACTATGTTCCAGAGCTGTGATTGGTGAAATTGATGATGACACCGATTCTGCGATGGACTTCAACAACATCAAAGCCGAGCCCCTTAACTCCGTGGTTCACTGACCCAGTGGCGCTGAAACCTGTGCCTGCGTTAGCTGACCGATGGACGTGAGACTCAGGATGTGTCATGAACAGAATGAACAGTTTGGCCATGTTCTACAGACTGTGTGATGCCTGGTATCACCTCCTGTCCATCTGTACTGAGTCTCGGCGGACACCTCTGGACAAGAGGCAGTGCTCCATCAGCAACGGCTGCATAATGGAAGTGGAACATTTTAAGAATGAGAGCAACTTATTTTAATGCTGTCGTGATTAACATAATTTTATTTGTGTAAAAATGATCTACCTGTCAAACAAGGTACAATATGAAATGGATAATAATAACATGTTATTGACTGAAATAGGATCTAATTAACGTGAAAGTGAGGAAATGTCTGAGAAGGATGTACATTCCATGTCGTAGGTGGTCTTGTTGACCTCATTTTTATAGGGACCTGATGCAGTGCTTCAGATTGTTTTGGATGCTCACTGGCCAAGTGGCTCTTCTGTCTGTCGAAACAACGGGTCAGGAATCAGAAATATAGGGCCAGGGGATCCATATTGTTTGGAAATGATCGGCACAAGTACTATTTTTCACTTAGTCCATTTGAACCACTGGTCTGTGCAGAGTTGCGTCCCTTACTCATGCCAGAAACCTATGATGATGGGTTCAAATCCTAAATATGCAGTGATGATGTTTCTAGGTTTGTCAGCACTATACCTAAGACCTGCATCACTTTGGGTTTTCCGCCCACGCCAAGCTGACATGACTGATATAACTGACATACTGTTCAAAACAGCGTTAGCCTCAACACACTCACTGAAGAAGAGCTGTTTAACTACTGTGGCATCTGAGGAACGTGGTCAGTATTGAAAGATGTTTCCGTACAAGTACTACTTACAAAGATCATGACGCCTCACCACTGCTCACTGTGTCCGGTTCTTGTTACTTCATATATTGTGAATATACAATTGAACAGATTTAATAATCATTTTATGTCTTTGCTGAAAGCGATATGAGAGAATATCAACAAGAAGGGTCTTCCAAAATCAGACCATTCATTTTAACAATCTCATTAAAATCAGACCTTAGTTCTTGCTAACGCTAAACAAAGATCTGAAGACATCCCATTAGGGGTCACGTCAGAACGACCTTTCATCCAACCAATGAGAGCGTCGCTTACCAGATCATGAAAGTGACAGTCGGAATGTGATTTCTAATCATACAACCTCGAAAACGTTAACACAGGGTATTCCGAACGATAGTTACAGGTTTAATGACTGAATCCATTCAATCTAGACCATCCATTAGCCATTCCAGAATGTTCTTTTGTTAAGGTTTCAAAATTTGTAATCGAGAATTTGTCAAAATATGTTTCGAAGCGTGGTCGCCAATTTGAAATTAGAGCCGTAAAGCACGAGAAAGCTGCCTTCTGATTGGACATTCTATTGGTCGGTCAAAGTTCGCGCAAAGGTCGGTCAAGTTCTGACGTGACCCGTAAAGGGATGTCCTCAGATCTTTGTTTAGCGGTAGCGAGAACTAAGGTCTGATTTTTATTGAGATTGTTCATTTTAACTGTATATCAATGAAGAGTTTAGAGCTCCTTGGAGTGATAGCCCAGTTTTATGAATTCCATGCCATTGTCCAGGGCCCACTTGCACAAAGCAATCTTAGCGCTACGACTATTGTAAGCCTATGTTAAAGTATGGGAGTTACGATCATCTTAGCGCAAAGATCACTTTGTGCATGTTGTGCAAGCGGGCCCAGCCCAAGATCTAGATCTGGAGTTTATCATTCGTCATGAAGTGAAAATGTATCATTCTCATTTGAGCCATTATTGTATACAAGTGTTCATGATCATTAAACATTGTACAGAATGACATGTTTTCCTTACTGTTTGTGGTGAAAGATGTTCTCTTCTATCATCTGAACTTTTCAAAATAATATTTCTGATTTCATGAAACTGTAGGGATTCTGGGTAAAAATGTAGGCCCCAGAAACCTGTGCTTTTCATAAAAGGCAACTAAATGAATCAGGTGGTCAGGCTCAGTAACTTGATTGATTGCATGTCACTGTATCTGAATTACGTGGATCGATGCTGATGATTTCAATCACTTGATTGTCTGGTCCAGATTCGATTATTTACTGACTGCCGTCATGACACATAGCTGGAATATTGCTGAGTGTGGCGTTAAACAACAAACAAAAACATAACAAGCCATAGCTTAATCTCTGGGATCCACATAAATGAGGTAAAGGATCAAATAATAATCACTATACCCAAAGAAAACAATGAATGTCGAGTTAAGCATGTTAAACAATAAACCAAAAAAGCAGATGACATGCTGGAAGGTTTTTACCTGAAACTACAACTAAAACACATTTACCTGGAGCACTGATGTTTAGATGTTTAGAGGATGTCAATAAGATCTGTCCTTACAACGCAGTAAAGTTTTTATTATTAAAAAAAGTTAAAAGTTAAAAGGTCACAATCACATTTGTCTGTAATTGGGTGTTTGAACTTGGCCAAAAGCTCACTGTACTAACAGTTCCCATACATTAAACATGTTAAATGAACTGGGTTCCACTTGTTTTGATGACCGCCTCCGTGGTCTAGTGGTAGAGCAGAAGGTCTGGGGTGCGATACCCAGTCGCATCATTCCAAAAGACGTTAAAAGATTGTACTTTTTGTTACCCTGTCTGGTGCTCGGCATTGAGGGGTTAAAGCAAGAACTGGTCGGCTCGGAGTCAGTATACTGTGTCTGAGTGGGGTATTAGTGTTAAAACTGCGGCATGGTATCTCGGTGTGCTCGCACTATAAATCGGTATCAGTCCGGACTAGTACAAGCAGCCACACACACATGCATGCACGTCACTATATAAGTGCAATAGTCATGGACGCAACGTTAAACCCCATTTCACCTCACCTCACTGCTTCTGATACCTGATTTTGTTATTCGATTTATAAACACAAATGAGTATTGGGTTCACCACTATCAGCCAGAGGCTAAACAACAGTCAAAGCAGCGGAAACATCCGACATCTCCTACCATGAATAAGGCAAAGTTAGTCGCATCAGCCTGGCGAAGTGATGGCTTCAATTTTTCTGTGATTACAAAGGAATTCAACCTCTCCCCACTTGAAGAAAGAACTGTCTAGCAAGCATTATGCAAATAATGATTATGTGATATTTTTCCAGTCAAGGGTTTTACACAACAAGGAGGAAGCCATGTTCACACTGGGATAAGTGAGTGAGTAGGGTTTTACGCTGCTTTTAGCAATATTCCAGCAATATCACGGCTGGGGACACCAGAAATGGGCTTCACACATTGTACCCAAGTCGGGAATCGAACCAGCGTGACGAGCAAACGCTTTAACCACTAGGCTACCCGACCGCCCCTCACATTGGGATCAAAGAACTGAATATGTTGAAAATAATTAGCAACCAACTCCATCAAAGTATTCCATCATGGTAAGGCTCGGAACTTTTCAGCCACACCCTCTTAGGAGTGCTGTGCCAAGCCCACGCACTCACACAAGCTGTAGCAAACAATCTGGAATCTATCAAACTATGAACATTTGGATATATAATCTAATAATCATTAAGTTATTATCCACCGCCACGAAGTGGAAGGGGGATATAGGAATGGGTGCCGCCCGTCCGTCCTTCCATCCATCCGCCCCTGCGCCACATCTCGTTTCCGGAGCAGATCTTGAAAACCGTACCATATTTCTTGACCAAACTTGGCACACAGATATGTCTAGCGGTGAACTGGTGCCTTTTGATAGTTTGGGATTTTTATAAATAATTTTTTTCGAGTTTCCATGGCAACGGCTTTGACTTAGACTGAAAATGGCTTTAGTCCTTGTTTCCGGAGCAGATCCTGAAAACCGTACCATATTTCTTCACCAAACTTGGCACATAGGTAGGTCTAGTGGTGAACTGGTGCCTTTTGATAGTTTGGGATTTTTAAAAAAAAATTTCGAGTTTCCATGGCAACGACTTTGATTTAGACTGAAAATGGCATCCTCGTTTCCGGAGCAGATCTTGAAAACCGTATATTTCTTCACCAAACTTGGCACATGTCATCTCGCAGTATTGAATACATTTCCTTCTTGTCCTGAGTTCTGCATTGCTTGTGTGTATGTTCCTCCAAAACTGTCATGGACACGGTTGTTGCATTCACTGACTAAAGTCATGCAGAAACACAACTCATTATAAATACAACAGTGTAACTTTAAACCTACTCAACTGTATAAACACTGCCTCCTATCCTGTATAATATATTCTTGTCAACCATACTCTGTACTTCACTTGCTTGATAACGGTGTTAGAACCTACACCGAAACCATCGCTCCTAATTGTAATAAAGAAGTTGTTCGTCCATATGTCTCATCCTTACTCATTGCAAATACAGTTATATATTCTATCACAAACTGCAGATGGCAAAACAACACCAGTAATAACTGTTTTAAGTGCTGCAATTAGGCCATTACTAAAAGGCCCAGTGAACATAGTTCACAGGAGCTAATGCATTGCACACAACCGGACATGTCATATTGGTGGGGGAATATGAGGACCGTATTCGACGTAATAAGCGCACCGCTCTAATAAGCGCCCACGGCGATATTTGCTAATATATTGGCTAGTGAACAATCCCAATTAGCACCCCTTCCGATTGATCAATGTTCACAAGACTTATTTATTCGCGTATTATACGCACTCGTGTGTTATATGCACCCTTAATTATGGGCAATTAAATTCTGGAAAAAAATATCTCTCGTATATAAACATTTCAGGCTGTCAGCATAAACCACGAAATTTACCTTTCAACTTTTTTTTTTCCCCACCAAAATAATATTCTAATAAGAGCCCACTATTTCTAATTTTGAGAGCGCCCTAGGCGCTTATTACGTCTAATACGGCATTTCATGCTTGTTCAAAATATGAAAATATGTAACTATATTGTTATCCGCCTTGAAGCGTGGTGGGGATATGCCGTTGTCCGCCCGCTTCTCAGAGGGACAAATTTTCTCAAAAAACTATTAAAGTTCGAGAAATGTTAACACTGATGTTACTGGTCCTGATCTCAAATGAGTGCGAAAATTGGTGTCTGAAATCCATTTTTTTACAGAGTTATAGCCCTTGCTCCATGCTTTCACTTTTCAACATACTGGTGGAATAAAGACCAGGTTTCTCAGAAACTACTGAAGTCATCTGAATGAAAGTTTGCATGCTCATCTAAGAGTAACTTGTTGACAGTTGGAAAATTGGTGCCATAAATAAGTCATTTCCAGAGATAGATTGTGTGAACCCTGTCTTCAGTGGGGACAACTTTCCTGAGAAACTACATGAAAGCTTGCATGCTTAAAAGAGATACTTGTCTGAGACAGAGACTGAGCTAAAAATTGGTGCCATAAGTTTTTCCCCCAAAGTTATGCCCCTTGATCAATGTTATAGTACTTAGTGCATAGAGGCTGCGATTGGGTTGGTTTTGGTTGGTTGGTTTGTTGTTTAACGCCGCACTCAGCAATGTTACAGCTATATGACGGCGGTCTGTAAATAATCGAGTCTGGACCAGACAATCCAGTGATTAATATCATGATCATCGATCCACGCAATTGGGATCGATGACATGCATCAACCAAGTCAGCGAGCCTGACCACCCCATCCCGTTAGTCGCCTTTTACGACAAAGCATAGTCACCTTTTACGTCAAGCATGGGTGGCTGCAATTGGGACAACATTGTAATGTACCATGTGGGATAGTGATAACAAAGTTGTTTTGTTGATATTTCTATGAGCCAGTAAATATTTTCAAATAATAAGTTAAAAACCATTGTAAGTTGCTTGAATTTAATCAGCGTGGTATGGTTACATTTAGTTCAAGTTATTGCTACAATGGAAACTCTTTGCAATTTTGCTTCTGAATGTATCGCGGCATGATATATACGTTGATGTTTAAAGTGTGATAAAAGATATTTCTTTCAATTCAAGACTGCCTTTTTATGTTCACTGGTGCTACGAGTATATAATTCTATTAAACCCAAGACTCTTTTGACAGTTTCAGGAAAGGTTTTGAGTTTACACCTATTTTGATTGTAAGACATGTTTACCAATTGTCACTGATGTACAACCATCTTAAAAACAAACATATCCGTGAGGATATTTTGAAAGTTGTTTCCTATTATTTTATGAAAGGAAATGTTTCTTTACTTTGCTCACCAAAAAAATCTGGGAACTGATTTATTTATTAAAAAAAACCCCACTCCATGGCTTGGATTGTAATAACTTGTTTGGCACATTCTTGCTCCATACCACTGAATACAGGTGAACTTCTGTACCTTTGGTGGGGCGGTCGGGTAGCCTAGTGGTTAAAGCGTTCG